GTAAATAAATAAAGAGAAAAAAAATCAATCTTTGGAGCTTTGCTGTAATGATTTCAACTGTAATGATGTGTTTACTTACCAACAGTATGTAAACTCTTTCTTTAACTGGAAACCTCAGGGGAGGACGATTCCACCACACAAAGGGATCATTAAGCAGTGGGTCACCCAGAGTGAACCCTGTGATGGCTACCACAATCAGAATAAGGAGGAAAAATATGTAACTATCCTGTTAGATGAAGAGAAAACATTGGTTAGAATTTAAAATTTGTTCATTTAAAAATACTTAAATTAGGACTAGAAGGAAAAGTTTTTACACTAATATCCAGTACATTCCAAAAATCTATAAGAAACATGATACTTAACAGTGAAGTTCTAGAAGTATTTCCATTAAAGTCAGAAACAAGACAAGAACGCCCCCTTCACCATTCCTAGTCAAGACTGTGGAGGAAGTTCTAGATAATGCAGCAAGACAAGAAAAAGAAACAAAAGGCATAGGACTGGGAAGGAAGAGGGAAAATTTTTTGACATTTGTAGTTGATAGAATTGTCTAAACAGAAAGATTCAAACACACAAATAATTAGAACTAATAATAGTGCAGAATGGTAGCAGCTACAGTTCAACAGACTTACAGAAATCAAAACCTTTCTGTAAATCGTTAGCAATCAATTAAAATATGCAATTTTAAAAGATTCCATTCAAAATATCAAACAAAAATTGTAAGGTACTTAAGTTTCAAAATATATGTATGACTGTACTGGAGAAATTTACAAAACATTTCAAGAGACGTAAAGGGAGATCTGAATAAAAAGAGGGTCTTTTATAAACTGGTTTCATAGGTGCAATGACAACACTTTAAAGATATCAATCTAAATTAATCTATAAATTTTTGCTGTTCCAAATAAAATCCCTGAGGTAGCTTTGAAAAGTGTCAACTCAGCTAAGCAGGAACTTTGTTACCCAGACTTCCTTCATGGAATAGTCCTGGGTTAGGATGAGCCATAAGAAAAGTTTGTGTGAAGATGGGAAGGTGGAGGCGAAGCAGAAGTCATTTTTTATGGTCTGAAGGTCAGTTTTGGGCCAAGAGCTATTGCAACTCATGTAGTAGCAGTGGGACCAGCTCTTTGTGACAGATCTGTGGTGAAGAGTGCCAGTTTATCCTGTAGGTCATCCCTATCATTGAGGTTAGGGCAATGAGAGAAAGACATGCGTTTATCCTTGTGGGCTGGTAATTGTCTCTGCTCTTCTCTATTCATCTTTCCACACTGCTGGCTTTGCTAACTTCAGGTCCAGCATCAGACACAGAACCAACAGCCTCACCTAGAATGCTTAGCTATCTCCTACAAATGTGTAAGGTTTAAGCCCTGCAATAAATCCCTATTCTATATCACTGATAGTGGCTCTGTGTTTCTGATCAACTCCTAACTAATGCAATCTCAAACAGGCATTTTGTAGAAGTTGATGGGCTGTTCCAAAAATTAATTTGGAAGATGAAGAGCCCAAGAATAAGTCAAGAGAATTTTGAAAAGTTAAAGAAGGAGGCAGGGGGTATTTCTGTCCTAGCAGACATCAAGACTTATATAGCATTTAATCAAAACAGTGTGATACTTATGGAGTGATAAAGCAAAAAAGACCAATAGAACAGAATAGAGAGCCCATAAAGACACTCAAACATATGTGAAAACATAATGTAAATGATAAAAGAGGTCTTACAAATCAATAGGGAGAATGATGTTCAATGTTGCTGTGGCATTTGGATATCTTACGTAAAAAAATATTAAAGTATAGCTCTATTTCCTATCATACCAAAAAATACATTTGCGAATAACTAAAGCTCTAAATATGAAAAGAAAACTTTAAAAAGAATTAGAGGAGAACATCACTCAAGACAAGAAGGAATTTCCTAAACAAAAACAAAAAATTGCAACCATAAGTGAAAAGTTGACAAATTTAGCTATATTGAGAAAAAGAAAAAAACTTAGTCTAAGTGACAAAAGACACCAAAAGCAGAGTGAAAATACAAAGCACATCTGGGGAGAAGACTTTGCATTACACACAGTAAACGAAGAATTAGCATCCACAAAATGTGACGAACTCCTGCAAATAGCTGAGAAACAACCTATTAACCAAAGCAAAGGAGAAACAAGGAAAGAATATAAACAGGCCATTCACATAAGATGCTCAATCTGACTGGTTATCATAGAAATGCAAATTAAAATTAAAATGAGATATTATCTCTTACCCATCAGATTAGTGAAAATGAAAAGTCAACAATATTAGTGAGAGTGTGGAGAAAAAGGAAACCTCCCATATTGTTGGTGAACGGAAATTGGGAGAACCACGATAGGAACAATTTGGTCATATCCATAAAAGTTGAAGATATATGTACCCTATCACCAGGCATATATCCTAGAAAAACTCTCTCAAGGATTTCATTACAGTGTTCTGACAGCAAAAAATAAAAACCAAAAGTCTGTTAAAAGAAGAATGAATAAATAACTTGAGGGCTATTCATGTCAGGGAAAGCATACAACAATTAAATGAATAACTTAGACCTACCTGGAGCAACACAAATGAATCTCACAAGCATAATGTTGAAATTTATCAAAACAAATTGCAGGATCCTATGTACTATTTTTAATGAAAATTTTAAAAACACCCCAAACAATGCCAAATATTGTCTCTGGATACATATCTATGTAGTAAAAAGATAGAATTAAAGGATAAATGCAGATTTCATGATTGTGGTGCTTCTCAGGAAACAAGATCAGGGAAGGATCCAGATAAATTTCCAAGTGTGGACATAACATTCAGAGTAAAGATTCAAAGCTAATATGGTAAGGTATTAACATTTGTTAAATTTCAATGGTGGGTACTATGGTTTATGTTATTCTTTTCTGTGATTTGAAATTTTTCATAATAAAAAAAGAGAAAAGCATTACAGTGGTGTCATGAACTGAATGTTTATGTCCCACCTACGCTCATATTTTGAAGCCTTGATCCCCAGTGTGATGGTGGTTGGAGGTGGGGCCTTTGGGAGGTAATTAGGTCATGAGGGTGGAGCCCCGTGAATGAGATTAGTGCCCTTGTAAGAAGAGAAATGAGAGAGACAATCTCTGTCTCTCTGCCATGTCAGGACACAGCAAGAAGGCAGCCATCTGTGAACGAGGAAGAGAGCTCTCACCAGGAGTCAAATTAGAGGCAGGACACCTTGATCTTGAATGTCCCAGCTTCCAGAAGTGTGAGGGATAAATGCCTGTGTTTAAGCCACCCAGCCAGTTGCATTTTGTTATGGTAGCCTGAGCTGCCTCAGACAAGCGGACACCCGTGGCTCCTCCCACCCCAACCTCTCCCGGAGACGTGAGCTCTGCAGAGAGCCAGAGCATGTGGTCTGATTTTACCACCCTGAGGACCTTGCTCTGCACATCAGCCCAGAAGGCTACCATCTGGAGTCCAGATAGGAGATTAGTCAGAAGTGGGATCCCCTCAAGTTTCCAGTGGAAAGACCCTCATGTGTTTTGCCCACTGGGAATTCTTTCTCCTCCCGCAAGACTGGCCTGGGTCACGCTGTGGTGCGTACTCCCTGTGGACTTGGAAACCAGAATGTCAGATGTCTCATGTGCAGCCGTGCTCCTGCATTGATTCTACTATGTCAGGACAGCCTGACCTCACCTGGGCCTGGACAGCTGTGGCTTCCTTGGCCCAGGGTGTGTTGGGACAGTCAGCACAATGGCCAACATGACTTTCCTCTTCCTCACAGCCAGCGAGACTGTCACCCCTTACCTCTATTCCTACTGCCTCAACTCAGAACAATCTGGAATGGAGCACTGTTTCTCATATTTGCCATCTACCTGACATACGGATTCCTTGAAAGGCAGATATCTGATTCTCCCCTCTCTTCATCTTCCTCTTCTCCCTTCTCTGTTTTTGTATTTGCTTCTCTGGTTTCCACACATGACTTTATTGTTTCACTGTGTGTCCACTTTGCGCTCTCTGGTCTGTCCCAGTGCTCTGTTTTTTTCTGATCTCTCTCTCTCTCTCTTGTATTTCTGCCTATTTGTCTTCTCTGTGGCTTCCCACTGCATGTCTGTGAAGAGCAGCGACAGCTTCCCATCCCACAGACCAGTGGGAAAACCAGAGGGAGCTCTGAGTGTGAGCAGTAGATGGATGGAAGTGGAAGAACACAATAAATGGCAAAACAATTTCAGCATTACAGGGCCTTAAATCCCAGGAGATGGGAGCCATTGAAATCTCATGTATCTAAGTTGAATTTTATTCAAGACTTTCTTAAGCTTTCAATTCTATCTAAGACATTCTGCTGAACAGGTCTAAGTGTTTCCCATAAGCTCAAAGATTAGTGAGAGTTGCAACAGAGATGGCGTAGAAGGCTAATATAGAGGCTCTCCCAGGTATCTGCAATGATAATAGGAACCTTCTTTGGATCACTAAGCAATGGTCTTCAGCCGACTTGTAGTTTCCAGCTCCTAGGGTTTGGTGTTTGTAGTTGAAAAGGTTTATGTCTTTTCCAAGGAGGCAACTTCCATATTACAAGGTTTACAAGTGGGTTTTGGATTTGACTGAGGACTAATAGAATCTACTGACCTGACAAAGTTGTATCGTGGTGTTAGGCTGATTTCAATAAATTATAAATTGAAGCAGCCATACAGAGTGAGGCCACCCATTCAGCCCAAGTTATATGAACAGTGGTTTAAGATGTCAGTGCTTTCATAGTTCATATTACCATGCTGGAATGGAAATTTTACTCTACACAGCCACTTAAGGGGGAATATAGTGTCTGAGTTATTTTTAAAAAGCAGTCTGTCTTAACGCTTTTATACTTGCAGTGTTTTATAAGCATCTCTGTCACCTGAAATGGAGGCAAGCATTATCACTCTCGTGTCATGGATGAAGAGATGGTGCAGACGTTAATCGACATTCACCTTGCAGGGCAATGGCTGAGTCATTCAGGGTCACAGGTCTCCTTTTTTCTGCTTATTCTACAGGAGAGCATCACCTTGTGGTCAGTGAGTTCAAACTCCCGGGCTCTGCTACCGATGGAGACAGTCTGTTGTCGACCTTGAGCGACTTTCACATTCTCTCTGGATGCCTGTTTCCTTGCTGTGAGTTTGGACAACAAACACATACTTATGATTGTTTTCTTTCTTTCTTTTTGTCTTAAAAATCAGGAATGATGGATTGCCAGTGAATCAGAGGTGAGGGATTCCTATGACATAAAGCACAGAATCTCCAGGTTAGAAAGGATCTGGAAAGGGCAGCTGGCAGGGTGGGCCTGAAATGTAATCTTACAGTGGAATTAATGAAGGAGTTAAAAAATAAAGATTCTTGAGCTCCTTCCTACTAAAATGGAAAATACTAATATGAGGACCAGGAGTCTATAGTTTAAAAAGCGCCCCAGGTGATCTGGTGCAGGTTTAGAATTCGTGGCTTATGTGGAACCAACCACTCCAAGTGCATGAGACAGGGAACAGGCTTTGCAACTGCTGAGGGGTCAGATGTGCACTTCAAATAAATGGGCCATGGCATCAGAAATGCAGCTCCCTTAAAAGCGATTGAGCAGATGGGAGATGGACTGGGCAGAGGTGTTGGGAAACCCTGGACTCTGTTTTTGCCAGGAAGTCCTCCAGCTTAAGTGTGGAAGCCGGAAAGAGCCTCGAACAGAGCAAGGCTCAGTTTCAACCTGCTGTGTGATTTGGGTAAGCCACTCCCCCTCTCTGGACCTCAGTTTCCTACCTGTAAAATGGGAGTGTGGACTCTTTGATCTCTAAGTTGATTCTATGACACTTTGAAATTTACCTAATGTCCTTTTTGATGTGAACTTGCTATAACTCCAAATGCTCTCCATTATCTTAATGTTCTTATATAATGCTTTGTGGACCCAGTGCTTGTCCCACTGAATGTCTTTTCAGTCGTGGGCATCCTTGAGTGGCATGAATGCTATACCCAGCCACTGAGTCAGTGCGATTGCCCATAGAAATCAAAGCATTCCGAGGTGATTCCCTGCCATCTTAGGCTGCAAAAGCAACCTCTACGAAGGCAAGTTCCAGGGAAGAGAGGCAGAAGTCTAGGTTGCAAAGGCATTTGGAAAAAAAGGTGGTCTGATTTGGAGGGCGCTAAGTATCCTACCAGCCATCTCTGCTCCAGGTGAGGGTAATTCTATCTGCTGCTGCTTCAGGTGACCAGAGAAGGCTCTATCAAGTGGCAAAGACAATGCTTTCCACTGATCATGCTCGCCTTTCCCCTGAGTGCTGACCGCTGTTGGCCAGAGAAGCGTGTAATGGTTATAGTTGTTGGCACCAGTGTTGGCTGCTCAGGCCGTAGCTTGGCCAATGAGACGAGGCTTGGGAAGGAAAGACTGGCTTAGCAGCAGCACCTTTGTAGGCCAGAAATGATCAAGTGTTCACTATGATTGGAAAGGAACCAAAAGAGAACAGTTCAGGGAAGAGAGCCCAAGGCTAAGGAGCCAAATAGTAGGCTTTACTGGGTTTTTGTTAGAGTCAATTAAATTCAATGGAGGAAACATTTATGGAGCACCCACTGTATGTCAGAAACTGTGCAAGGCTTTAGGAATTCAAAGGGGAACAAGCAGGGTCCCTTTCTTTAGGCATTTATAACCCGGGAGGGAAGTTCTCCATAAGAGAGACAGAACGTATCATCTAGGGGTGACGGCATGGCAGGGGGAGGAGCTTACACGATCTGGGCAGCAGGAAAGGGAGGCAGATGAGGTGACGTCTGAGTAGGACTTTGCTTGGAGAAGAGGGGAGTGGGCAGGACTTCTAGGCAGAGGAGACAAAATTAGCAAAGGCAAGAAGGTGTGGAAGAACATGGTGCCTCTGTGAACTGGAGAGCTGATGGGAGGTGTGGGGGCCATCCGGATACACAGGGGAGAGGAAGCTGAAGAGACCTAGCCAGGAGCTGGGCTCAATGTGTCTGTGCGTGCAAGGGCTTTAGCAGAGGCAGCCTCTTATTAAATCGTCACATTCGTGTTTTAGAAATATTGTCCTGGAAGCAGTGTGGAGGATGAGTGAACAGAAGGGACAAACGGAACCAGGGGATACATTAGGAGGTTAGGGAGGCAAGGCAGTGGTGGAGAGGCTGGGTCATATTCAGTATTGGGTCATCGAGTGGATCCGAGGGCTGTCTGGATGTGGGCAGCGTGTGAGAGGGAGGCACAACAGATCGTTCTTGGTTTTCTGGCTTGGATAATGGGCTCCAGGGATACCCCTCTCCCTTCGGCTCTTGCGCCTCCCCCAAGGCGGGGTGGGTGAGATCCCCCACTCTGCTTTTATAACTTTCCAAGATAACTTGGAAGCTGGTGGTTGAGGGAACACCCTTTGAAAAACGATGAGTTCTTAGAGGCACCCAAAAGAAGAAAATACTTGAAAATAAACTTTAGCTAAACTTTTTTAGGGACTGTGTATTATTTGACTATTATTAATCTTGAAGAAAGTACACATATATAATTGTGAAACATTACTCACATACTGAAAAGCTTACAAAATAGAAATATACAACTCATCGATTAATCACAAAGCAAACATTACTGTCACCATCATGTTGGGCTGGAAATGCGGGCAACACGGCGAGCACCCCGGAAGCCCCTTTCATGCCCTGTCTCGGCCAAAATCGTCTTGTCCCAGAGTCCCACCTCCCTCCGGGAGAACCATGATCCTGATGAAAGCACTTAAAAAAAATAAAACTAAAAACCACGCATTTCCAAATGAATACAACAAAAGAAAAAGCATATCTTTCGTATTTTCCTTTTTCCAATTTAGGTTAATTCTTCCTCATCTTCCTAGTCTGATTGAGTTTAGGGATCCTGACAGTCATTTGGTTCAGTACCTACAGGAGTAACAAAACTGTGGTCTGGGCTGCTCTTTGCTCTGTGACTATATAAGCTAAGCTGTGGTCTTGATCAATTAATCACCTCTGTAACTTTTTGTAGCTTATACGGCTTTGAGTTTACAGAAAGTCCATTTATCTAGAGAGAGGCATTCGCCTTTGTATAAACAGTGGTGAGTACACCCCGAACCATCTAAAGGGAGAGAGGAGAGGAAAAGAGGATGAATTGTTGAGCCTGGAATCTTAACATTTACTTATTTAGGTTCTGCATGTCTTTATAGGCTTGAGGAGCTATTTCTCCATCCCTCTTCCTAAAGCTGCTGCTTTCTTAACAGGCTGTTAGAATTGCAGGCTCCAGCCACCTCTGATACACACAACACTTTCATTCACTGCAGAAGGGAGTTTTGTGTGGAGAGAGGGTCTACCTAAAGGAAAGAGTGGACGGCCCAGACGTTTGATCTGCTAGAGCGAGCTGCATCAGGAGAGGCCTGGGCAATGGAGCAAAGCGTTAGGACGATCTGGAAAGATGGGAGAATTGGCAAGAAGGCAGCAGCCCCGTCCCCCTCTGCCATCCCAAAGGCAGGATGAGCCAACCTCTCCAAGTTCACATCAAGGTTTACGAGGGTCAGCGTGTTTGTGCAGGCCTTGACATTTTCACAAATTGCTCTGTAGTTGTTTTTATTAGTTTTCTTCCAGCTGTTGCTCCAGGGCCCTTCTGGCAGCCGGGCCTTCCAGGCCAGCTTGGAATCCCTTGTTAATTGACTCAAGTCATGAAAAGGTGCCATCTGCTTTGAACTCTTGCCTGTTCCAAAGCTGGACAAATCCCAGGCACGCACCATAGGAAAAGCAGTAATGAGGCTCACACCTCCGAGTTTAGAGTTTAGAACTCTGTCTGGTCAGGTGTTAAGGGCAGAGGTGAAGGGCGAGCCCAAGGGGACGGGTTTGAAGAGTAAACAGACCCTGAGGCTGTACTTCCTCCTGGGTCCTAAGCGATGACGCCAGGCTTGGGAGGAGATTTCACAGCAATCCTGTCAAACCCCTCTGGTGAATAGCATCATGATGACCCAAATAAATTCACAGATATCTGTTACTCCCTGTGTTTTCACTTCACACCAGCTCTCCTCAGATGCGCCTCAGCTTGGGAAAGAGGCCTCGGTGAGAGGTTTCCTGTGAAGCTATTAGTTTCATCCCACTTCATAGAGAAAAAACAAGAAAAATCTTAAGGGGGTTTAGGAAGAAGGACCACTATCACCACGATGCAACACCTGATGTTGAAACGCTCTTTTCATATTTATTATTTAAAAATGATGGCAAGGGCAGTGTCAACAGAGCAAAATATTTATTGACTTTCATGAAACATCCCCCAATTACAACGTTTTAAAAAAGTGTTAGATCAACTGTAGTGTGAAATTGACTTCTGTCTCCTCCAGTACAATGTGTAATCAGACCTTCTTTCCTTGATAAATTTTGATACTTTAAAATGGACCCAGGTCCAAGCATGCTTCTTAAAGTTGTATCGTACAGAAGGGCGTCCAGTATGCTGTTATTTGTTTATCAGGAAAGATGAATCACTAGTGGAAATAAGAAAATAGCGTGTTTGCTAAGGCTTGGAAAGATTGTCAGAAAATGTGGCACCAGTGCAGGGCGTGGTCGGTGGGGCGTGGTGGCAGATGGAGGGAGAAGCCGTAAGTTAAAACAGATTTAAGAGGCATATTCATCATATACAATGTGTAGACCTTGTTTGAATCCTGATTTGAACAAACTAACGGTAAAACAAACAAAGACAATCAGGGGAAATAGGACAGTGACTGGATATTTGATGAAATTAAGGAATTATTCTTTAAAAAATTTAGGCATAAGAATGGTATTGTGACTGTTAAAAAAAAAGAGAGTTCTCATCTTCTCATCTTTTAGAGATATGTACAAAAATATTTACAAATGAAATTACATGATGTCTGGAACTTATTTTGAAATAACCCAAAGGGTCAGGGAGGGGTTAAGTGTATGGTAACAGAAAAGAGGCAAGAGATGAAATAAAATCGACCTTGAGTTGATAATTGTTGAAGATGGGAAATGAATATGAGAGTTATGGGTTTGTTGCATTATTCTCCCTGCTTCTCTGTATTGAACATTTGTATTATGCAAAATTAAAAATGAAAGTCCTCAGGGGCCGGCCCCAAGGCTGAGTTGTTGGGGTTCCACACGCTCCACTTTGGCAGCCCGGGTTCAAGGGTTAGGATCCCAGGCATGGACTTACTCCACTCATCAGCCATACTCTGGAGGCATCCCACGCACAAAGTAGACGAAGACTCGCTCGGAAGTTAGCTCAGAGCTAATCTTCCTCAAGCAAAAAAAGAGGAGGATTGGCAACAGATATTAGCTCAGGGTCAATTTTCCTCACAAAAAACAAAAAGTGAAAGAGAAGGACCTCAGTGGGCTCTTGTCACGTATGGTTAGCTTTCTTATGTAGAGGAGGGAAAAGGTGCTGAAGATTTCCTCTCCAAATGGTCATACAATTTTTACCTTTATTAATTTTATAATCAAAGAAATCTCAATGAGCTCTTTCTAATCTTATGATTCTTTGATTATACGATTCTGTGAAATTGCAATCAGTTGATATCTTGGCCATAACAGTCATCAGCTCTGACCTCAAATTGAGGTTGGAGAGGAGCAGAAAAGGAAGGAATAGCTTCCCACTGAGAAGTTGGTTTTTCACTTACACCAAGCCAGGGATCTGGTCTGAATATTTGTAATGGGATGTGGAGATGTGGGACAACAGAATGTTATGCTTTTGGGGACTTAAATAAATGTGGGCGGGGAGAGTAGTTCCGGTTTGCATGATAAACTCATTTTAAGGAAACTCTATATCCTAGACTGAAAAATAATTTATTCCTTAGACCGGATTTCCAATGCTATCACAACTCTATTAATTATCCATGCTGTGTAACAAATTCCCCCAAAAATTTGGTGGCTGAAAACTGCAAATATTTATTATCTCACGGTTTCTGAGGATCAGAAATCTGGGTGTGGCATAGCAGGGTGCTTGTGGCTCAGAGTGTCTCCCAAAGCTACAGTCAAGGTGTTGTCTGGGGCTGTAGTCATCTGAAGGCCTGACTGGGGGAGGATCTGCCTCTGGGTTCATTCACATGGCTGTTGGCAGGCCTCAAATCTGTTTCCCAATTCACTCCTGTGGGCCTCTCTGCAGGGCTGCCTCGCCACGTGGCAGCCAGCTTCTCCCAGAGCAAGTGAACCAACACAGAGCACGAGAGAGGGAGCATCCTATGGAAGCTGCAGTCTTTTTATAGCATAATCTTGGAAGTGACAACTGATCTCTTCTGCTGTACTCCATTCTTTTTTTTTTCTTTTTAAAATTTGGCACCCGAGCTAACATCTGTCGCCAATCTTTTTTTTTCTTCTTCTTCTTCTTCTTCTTCTTTTTCTCCTCAAAGCCCCCCAGTACATAATTGTATGGTCTAGTTGTGAGTCCTTCTGGTTGTGCTGTGTGGGGAGCTGCCTCAGCATGGCCTGACCAGCAGTGCCATGTCTGCGCCCAGGATCCAAACCCGAGAAACCCCAGGCCACCGAAGCGGAGTGTGTGAACTTAACCACTAGGCCATGGGACCGGCCCCTGTACTCCATTCTTTAGAAATGAGTCACTAGATCCAGTGAGGGTGACCAGTTCATCCCCAGTTGCCCAGGACTTTCCCACTTTAACGCTGAAAGTTCCACATCTTGGGAACCTCTTCAATCCCAGATTTTTACTGGTCATGCTAAATCTAGCCTACACTCAAGGCGGGGAATTCTACAAGGGTGTGAATATCAAGAGGTGGGGATCGCTGAGTGTCATCTTCCAGGCTGGCTACCACAACAACCTTTCTAAGATTTAGTTCTCGTCATTACTGAAAAACAATGCCTGCAAGCCATTTCCTGATTCATATATCAGAATATATATCATATACCAGTTTTTTAATGATATAATGAATCACGTTAAAGTGGATTGAATAAATACATAAACCAACTTTAGAAACAGAATTTTATTTATGGGGGAGGGATAATAAGATTTATTATGTGTGTGTGTATAGTTTTTCCAATTTGGTCATTATTTCAAAGCAAATATTGATTTTGGTATACCAGTTCTGTCTTTTGCTTTGACTTCTAGAATTCCTGGCTAGATTTATGATCTCTTTTTTTTTTTTTAAGAAAAATTAATTTTTAAATTATCCCCTATGGCCAGATATTTTAATGATTTTGAATTTTGGAACATATTTTAAAATTTTAAACCCAGCTTTGGAGTTGACCATTTTGACTCTGACTCAGAAATTCAAATTATTCATTGGTCCATTCAAGCAATAGATATGTATTAAGCACCTAATGTGCGCTGTGCTCTATGCCCAGCCCTGAGGATATAGCGTTGAGCCAGCAGGACTTGTTTACTTTTTGTACGTCATGGACCTTGGAGCCGATTGGGTCAGTAAAATAAGGTGTCCACCACCGTGGGCTTAAGTGTCCCTCTCTTGCACTCTTCTGCCCACGGCTATCTGACGTCTAACTCTTCATGGAAAGTATCCATTTGTATACAAGTTTCTTCCACTACACTGTGCGCTCCTTGAGGGCAAGAAGCATGTCTTTGCTCAATCTTTAAGAATAAAAAAAGGTATCGATGACTTCTAATATGCTAGGCCCTCTGCTGCATCTTGATTAAGAAAGCTAAAAAGATCTGTTTTCTTGGAGCTTCCAATCTAGAGGGATGACCGACAGTAGACAAGCAAACAAACCAACAGGGTTATACGTGTGCTAAGTGCCATGAAAGAAAGAAAGGGTGCCAGGAGAGAACTAGGAAACCCTAGTTTGGAAGGATCAATGAAGGAAGGCCTGTCTGAAGAAGGGCACTGGAGCTCAGCTGAGACTGGGACGGGGAGGGCCAGGCGTTCACGCAAGGAGCTGGGTGAGGGATATTCCAGGCTGAGAGAATAGAGTGTGCAAACGCCCTAAGGCGGGGAAGGGCTTAGAAAATTCAAGGAACTGAAGGGAGGCAATAGGGCACTAGTGTTGTGGGGAAGGGGGAGCATGATGACTGTGAAGATTGGAGAGGCATATAAGAGATTCATATAGGACTTTCTAGGACTGGAGAATTTTTGAATTTATCCTAAAGACAATGGTATCCCCTGGTGAAATTGTAGGCAGGGAGTCACTTTGCAGGCAGGGAGTCACATTGTCTTAGTCTGGCTTCTCCTAGAAGCAGACCATGAGTGAAGCATTAGGATGCAAGTAGTTTGTTCAAGAGATGACCCCAGGAAGCATCAGTAAAGGAGTGGGGAATTGAGACAGACAAGGGAAGATATCCAATAAAGGCTGCATTTTAAACAAAATTACCACTGTGGACCACTGAAGCTTAATTGCTCTGGGGAACTCTGGAGGCCACTATAGAATGTGCCCCTCGAATTATTCCTCTTGAGGGGTGAGAGAACTGAGGAATTTATATACCCAATCTCGCCAGCCATTGCTTGAAGTCTGTTGGGGGATAAGGAATGTCTTGTAGGGCATGGGCAAGCGTTTCTAGCCTGCTGCAAGGGTGGGCAAAGCAGCTTCATGACCAGAAAGAAACCTCTGGCAAAAAAAGACAGGTTCTGGAGTTTGGAAATCAGGTTAGTGAACAGGTTAGCGGTAAGGGTGAGGGTACATGGGGAGGCAGTGTCTACTGCAATCATGATCCAGTGTAGGAGTTAATAGTTCCCTCTGGTTCTTTCAGTGTGAATAAACCAGGAGCAGACCAGAGTGAAAGTGGGAGACCAATTCAGAGGCAATTTCAGTGGTCCAGGTGGGAGAGGATGGAGACCTGGACAAGATGATGGCAGATGGAGATGGAGAGAAGAGGTGGGCTTCAGATTCATGTTGGACATGGTGTTCACACCTTGGTGATGGTTTGGACATGGGACATGAGAGAGAAAGGAACTTCATGAGTGATTTCTGGCTTGAGTATCTGAATGGGTGGTGGTGACATTTACTGAAATGGGAAAATGGGGAAAGGGTTGATTTTGGGTCATGTATTTATAATGACGCAGTTGGCACAGTCATGTGACTTTCTCCAGCAATGCTTAGCTGGCACAGAAGAGGTGGGCTGTAGGTTTCATCCACAGGTGAGTGTTTGCCAGGACTGGGCAGCAGGAGAGAAGTAAGGGAGCTGAAGGGACTTGCAAGGGAGTCATTAGCAAACTGTTGGACTAGGAACTCTAAACTCATTGACAGGGAAATGAAGGCAGAAAGGGGCAGTTGGTCAGAGACAAGATGGTGGAACCAGTGGGTCAACAGTGGGGCTATTAGAGAAAGTAAGCTGGAAGGATAAGAGCAAGTGGTCTTCTTCATCTTGGTACCCACAGCTCCTACACAGCTTCTGAAATATAGTAAAAGCTCAGTAAATAACTGTGTTTAAACTGAGGTCATTGTTGGCCTGAGGATGGATCTTAGAGGGATGGGGTTGCACCTTTCTCTAGTCCTCTATTTCTTGGGTTCAGTGGTCTTTCTGAATGAGTCCATTCTGTTTCTCTGTTCAATTTTTTCCTTTGGGATCAGCACACAAGAACTTCTCTGCTTCCAGTCCCCAGTGGGATATGAACACGATAGTTACTGCTGGGCTGTCCCAAAGTCACTCTGTGCTTGTGGGAAGCTGGATGGACTGTGGACTGATCTCTGGACGTTCATTCGTTCATTCGTTCATCCACCCATTCATTCAATAAACCCTCACTGAGCAGCTACTACATACCTATCTCCTTGCTAGGTTTTGAGTTAACAAAATGAATGAATGAGTAAATGGCCAATAAAGTTTTGTTCATTAGGGAGCTACAAATTGTAGCACTTGAGTTTCTGGACTTGAACTTTTTGGGTCTGTCCATCATTCACAGTCATATTGAGACTAGAGGGGACAGCCTTTATTCTTTAGCCTGCTGTGTTGTTTTAAAATTTTACCAAAATGTATAATACTCTGAAGACACACAAAAGAAAGAAATCCTTCCATGGTGTCTAAAAATGTACAAATGCATCTCTCCAAGAGCCGGGGTCAGGTCAGCAGTTATGCCTTCATCAAGGGCGGGATTCAGATTCTCACCCCTTTAACATTTTTTAAACCATGACATATTATTTTTTTAGGATGGTTTTACCTACCTAAGGGTAATGCTCACCAATTCTTCTTCAGAAGTTGCGCTGTCTTCCACGTGAGACATTTAATTTTAATTAATCGAATCAGCCATTTGTTTTGTTTTTCCAAACCCTCCGCCACTCCCAGGTAATCTGAAGAAATCTCTCCCCAAAGGGAGCCAGGCTTTTGCGTGCTCCGGTGTCAGCCCTTTCCACTGTTGCCTCCAGCAGGTTGGAGGGACCAAGTCTCAGGTATTTGCTGAGCGTCTGGCACAACGGGGTGCATAAGCGCTGTTCATAAATTCTGGTGTGACTAATGGATTGATATAAATCTCATTAGGGCTAGGATTGTGCCTCTGTCCCCAGCACCTAGAACAGTGCCTCCTACCATTAGGTGCTCAATGAAAATGTTTGTTGAATGAATGCATGAGTGAATATTACTGGGGACTGTTGAGCTTTGTAAATCCAAAAATGTGCTCTAGGGTCGACTCATTTGATTCCCTTCCAGCTTTCAGCGGTGATATGAAATAGGGCTGTGATTTTAGAATGTTTTGCTTGTGCTCTGCATCCTTTTTTGGGGAGGTGGGGAAGAGGTTAGCAGGCCGAAGCATCCTTAACCAACACACCAATCTGAGCTGCTCCTCCTCATCCATTCTCTATCTTGCGGAAAGTGCCACTCCAACCAAATCAGTGAAGTGAAAAAAGAAAACAAAGCTGGGTTTAATTGTTACTCCTATCCCTTACACAAGAGTGCCACGACTGAAAATACAGAGGGGCAGCCTGAGGGGCTGTAAATAGAGAGACTAGAAAGTTAGGAAAGAAGACTCTGAAAGAGCATCACTTTTGGAGCCTTTCTTGAGGATCTCCTCTGTCACCTGCAGCTTGCTCTGTGTCTTGGCTTATGTTGGAGGAATGCTTACTCCTCACTCATGATGCTCTTTCCATGAGAAGGGGCCTTCTGTTCCATCAACAATGCTGGCCTTTCCATACCCTTCCACTCATTCCTCCCAGGAAAGGATAGGTGACATAACAGAGTGGTGAGTTTGAGATGAGGAATTGAGTTGTGTAGCCCAGTCTCTGCCTCTCTTGGGACTGACCTGTCAGCAAAGAGCCCCATTCTGCTCTGCTCCAGTATCCTCTATAGAGGGCAGGCTATGCATCTGTTGGGGGCCTTGTAATCATGCAGTGCTGCCTGCGACTGGGTGGGTAAGGCTGCCTAATTTTGGGATTCAGTACTAGAAAGCTCATTATTGCTGCACACCTAAGACACATCTTCCCGCCCAACCTTGATGAGTAATGTCATAGTCGGTTTAGGCTGCTGTTAGAAAAATACCATGGATGGGGTGGCTTAAATGACAAACATTTATATTTCACAGCTCTGGAGGCCGGGAAGTCTGCAATCAGGGTCCAGCATGGTTGGGTTCTGGTGAGGGCTCTCTTTCTGATTTGCAGATGGCTAACTTCTCCCTGTGTCCTTGCGTGGTGGAGAGCAGACAGAGAGGAAGCAAGCTCTCTCATGTCTCTTCTTATAAGGGCACTAATCCTATCACGAGGGCTCCACCTTCATGATCTAATTACCTCCCAGAGGCCCCCTCTCCAAACATCGTCACACTGGGGTTAGGGTTTCAATGTATGAATTTTGGGAGCACGCAAACATTCGATCCATAGCAAGTAATAAGGATGAGTTTTTCATCTCCATCTGCCTGACTCCTGTGGCTTTCTCTCATTTGGTGCCAAACTTGGGTGAGGAAGGGACCCCCTCAAATACCAATAGCTGAGGTCTAGTGTTTGGATGTTTGGGGATTGATCTGGCTGAAAGGGACAGAGACAAGCAGGTAGAGTTTCTTTGGTTCAGTGCTTAACCAGTTTGCACAGAGCAAATCCCCTTTTCTTTCTATGGGTGCCGCATGCACGATGCCCTAGCTCTCAGTGCTGTTGCTGCTCCTTCCCTCTGCTATGCTGCTTTGCTGCAGCCCTTGTTTTCCAGCATCCTCCATCTGATAACATCACGGGGAGAGAGGGGAACGTTAGGAAAAGAGAGCAGGAAGAGAGGGCAGAAGCGTTCCCAGTAGTAGCCCTGCAGGCAGCACCCTTGTTTAGTGCAAACTGACTCTTCTTCAGCCAAGCAGATGCTTAAGACCCAAGTTTCATTAGGCTGAATTCCTTCCCATAGGGCACCTTGGTCCCTCATGCAAATGAAACTCTTCATGAGCCAACCCCGATAGCTGAAGAGGCCATGTCTGAGTCTGATAATGCTCTGTATAATATATGTAAAACACACAATAATGCATACATACACACCTACATTTTAGGATGCAATGCTACAGGTGAATACATATATGCACAAGGAAGCATGTGTGTACACATACATTTGCTACATATAATAAAACAACTCTTCCCCAATTAAAATTCAAAGTCAATAAAGGTAAGGAAGGGACTGTTTCTGTATTTCTTCTGTCCTCAAGGTTAGCTCTTCGAGTCAAGCCTCTCTTCCAAGTCGGGATTTAATTTCCTTGGAAAGATAGTCTATGGAAGGCAAGAAGTGCAGGACCTGGGTCCTTTTTCTGACCACGTCTCTGGCTGTATGACCTGGAGCACAACCGTCCTGCTTCAAAGCCTGCGTTTCACTGCATAGTACGTAGGGTAGAGGCTGTGCTGCGTTGGCTCTCCTAGCTCCTTCTGTGGATGTATACTCTGAACAAATAGCCAACGATTTGTAGGTGGCCAGAGGAAGATATGGAGGGAAGGAGAAGGTGGTGAGGTTTAAAGAGACAGGAAATATGGCAGCCCTCATTTACTGGAGAGCTACGTATTATACAATCGGCAAAGGATGGGGTCTAGGGGTTCCAATGGAATCATTGCCTACCTCATCAGTTACTGCAAGAATGATAGAAACAACTGTGATTGGCTTTGCACTCTTTAGAAAAAAAGGCATTTGCAGGTGTGGCAGAGAGGAAGAGAGAGAGAAAGAGAGAGAGAGAACAGGCTGTGTGCTTGGCACTTTGTCGGGTGCTGTGAGGGGCACAGGGGTGGACCAGCCGCGGACCCTTCCCAATTGCTCGTCATCTCTGGCGAGAGAGGTCAGCCGCAGGCTCCGGAGAAATAGCTCCTTAAGAGCGGGACAGGAAAAGTGCTGTGGAATTTGATAAACTAGAACTGATATCTAAAACTCTCTACTTGAGTCATTGAGCATTTGCAAGACAGATTCCTTCAGGAGAGGGCCCCACAGGACTCTTGTTTGGGCTCTCACCTCACTTATCCCATGGAAGGCATGATCAACAGTGACTGAATGTGTTGGCCCACATTATTTACAAACACCGTGCTTGAACCGTGGTTAGGCAGAGACGTATTTGGAGAAGGTTTTGTGCTCACTACAGCTCTGTGCTAGAAAGGTCTGACTCGAAATGCTTCAATTGAGTTTCTTAACTATTTACCTTGGTCCTTCGTGTTTTTTGTTTTCCAGTTCTTCCTCAAACACGCTCTTTCTCTTCTTCCGAAAACAGTCAGATGGCTGAGTCTAATGGGACTGTGATTATCTTACTAGAAAGACAGCACTTTGCAAAGCTTGCTTTATATTAGATTCCCTTCAAAGTCTACACAGGGCGTGTGAGCATGAGGGCAATGACATCCACATAAGGCCTACAGCTGGAAAGAACATTCTTAGAGCGGGAAGTGCTGTGTGAACAGTTGTCTGCTCTGCCCCAACTGTTGCCACATGTGGGTGGGGCCCCCTGAAGGAGAAGGCAGAAGGGCTCTAGGTTTCTGGGGTACATATTAGGCTCTGAGCCACAGTTACCGCTACTATTATTATTTATAGTTAAAACTACTCAGTTAGTATTCATGGAAAATTTCTAAGGTAGGAATTATTGTGACCTGCCGTTTACAATTTGAAAGGACATGCAATTTCACTAAGGTTATATCAATAGTAAAAGGCAGAACCAGGATTCAAACCAGGCTCCAAGATTTCTCCCCCACCTTTTCTTTTTTGGAGAGGAAGATTGGCCCTGAGCTAATACCTGTGCCCATCTTCCTCTGTTTTGTATGTGGAAACACCACCAAAGCATGGCTTGATGAATGGTGTAGGTCTGTGCCTGTGATCCGAACCCACGAACCTGGGCCACTGAAGCGGAGTGCACCGAACGTAACCACTATGTCACTGGGCCAGCTCCCAAGTTCTTTCCCTTTTGTTGAAGGAATGATTTAGTGAAGGAATGACTAGTGATATCGTGATACGCACCAGCCGAACTTTCACTAGGAATTGACCTGATTGTTGATGTTTTGTAATTTGTGTACTTTCCCCCCAGTATTGGCATGATTCTTTATCTAAATTCAAGAGGTCACTTCTTAACTAAGCATTTCAGTGTTAGGAGGCACCATCAATCAACCAACAAATTTTGGTCTCTGTATATTGATACCTAGGTGCCTGCCAAGGTGAATTTATGGAGAGTATCAGATACTCTTCAAATGCTCATTTTAGCCAACTATTTCTTTCCCAGTTTTAATGTGGATAATGTATAGTAACACTGAATGAACTTACATTCTCTGTGCTCTCTCCTCACTCGTGTGGGGTAAATGAACCCAAGGTGACCACTGAGGAGGCCGCAGGAAAGAAAGAATGAAGGGACTGGCATGATTCATATCTTGAAAGCTAGTGTTTGAATAATGAGGAGTCACTTATGATTACTATTAGAATTTCCCCATTCTTCCTCTTCTTGTTCTAGTGACTTTCAAGTCCCTGGAGTATTTTATTGTCATTTCTGATACATAGACAGCTAAAGTGGGTATCACCCTTAAGAACTTACAGATGGAAGTTGACAACGCCTCTGCGAGAAAGAGGTATCATTACTGTCATTCACGGAGAGCCTGAGAGTCTAGGCCTCCATGCCTGCTCCACTGGCTACAAGTTCAGGACTCTCCAGAGCCCCAGGGTGTTCTCCTGGGAGCTTCTCCTCCCTCCCCTCCACCGCCACTTGGAGACTGTCACCTGCCTTGGAGGAGAATTCTTATTGAGAGTTCCTAAGCCCTGGATTTTCCAGACTCAGTCCTCTGCCTCTCAGTGATCAGCTCACGAGAGTTTGCCCTGAAACGTACACAGTGATTTCTGTGCTACTTTTTGGTATTTCCTGCTGGAGCTCGGTCTGGGTGGAGTTCCCTGTGGAAGTGCCAGAGTTTTCCTGTTTGTGCAGTTGATTTTCAAAACCTTAAATAAACTCTGTTGTGATGTGTTCAGAATCATAACAACTCAACAACTAAAATAGGTGCCTACTATGGGCCTGGCACGGTTCTAGCAGCTGGGGATACAACAGTGACCTCAGCAGACCCTGCTTTCAAAGAGCTTGCGCTTGGGTCCAGGACACTGATTAGCAAACAGGCATTTGCCCTCCGCGTGCTAAGTGCTGTGAAGGACAAAGTCCAGGGTGTTGGAGGTTGGGGGGGTGGTGCACACAGCAGGGGCAGTGACTGAGCCCAGCCTCGGGAGTGGCAGGGCTTGGGGGTGTGGGAAGTGCCAGCAGAGGCTTCCTAGAGCCCGAGCCAGCTAAACTGTATCCTAACTACCAGAAACTAATTTTTGTAGACTCTGTTCTCAATTATCTACAAGTAGATGATTGCACTTAATTTGCAAGAAAACTTTTTGCAATGGCTTGAGTATTTCAATTTCCTCTATTTATAATACATGTTACATAGAGGCATCAAATCTCACAAGGACAGAGCTTCGGCAGCCCAGATAGCCTGCTCAAAGGAGGGTTTGGGACGAGTGAAACACTGCATTTCCTGCTTGGGACCGAAGAGAAGGGAGAAAGGAGATAGGGGTGGGGGGCATTGAAGTGCTTCCCAAGCTTCCGACCATTCAGGTCTTTATAGGGAGCGTCATTATTTCATCTGAAGTGTATTTTCAGGGTGTCAAGCAGGCACATCTCTGTTCAAATACCAGATAGGCAACAAAACACATTCCAGAGCCACCAGATGTAAATGACTCGTGGATGATTCTCTTTTTAGCTTCTCCAGGCCATTGTTCCCCTCCATTAGCGCAAATAATAAAGACCAACTTCTTGCCAAAGGAAAGAATAGGGGGTGGGGTTGGGAACAATGCAAAGGCTTCTGTGTGTCTGGCCAGACGAGTTCCCTGTGATTAGTCTCCGATCCACTTTTGATCTCTTGGTCAGACAATAAAATGCCTATTTAATTTAAAAATAAACTTTATTAAGGTTTAATTTACATGCAATAAAACACACCCAATTTAAGTATGCTGTTCTTTGAGTTTTGACAAATGTATACACGGAGGCAACCACCTCCCCAACCAAGACATGGAAAATTTTCAACTCGCCAAAGTTCCTTTCGGCCTTTTTAGTTACCCTAGCCCCAGCCCCGGGCAAGCGCTGACCTGCTTTCTGTCACTATAGATTAAGTTTGCCTGTTTTAGAATTTCCAATAAATGGAATCATACCATATTTTTTCTTTTGTGTCAGGCTTTTTCACCCAGGATCATGTTTTTGAGATTCATTCTTGTTGTTCTTGTATCCATAATTCCTTCTTTTTTATTTAAAATGCTGATTTTTGAAGTAGCAAGCAACTGTTCAAGGTACCACTCAGGAAGATGAGCAAATCGAGGAAGTCCCTCTGGCCTAAAAATTCTATCAACTTGCCCAGGAAATGAAGGCCTGAGAATTGCACCAGGTTAGTACACACCGCATTTAAGAACCAGCCAGGCACAGGAATTTCTGGGCTCCAGGAGGCCCGGACGATGGGGAAAGATGAAACCTTGGTGAATGATAGAATGCATTACAGAGGATGACAGGGCTATTTGTTCAGTTCTGTTATGAGTTCAGCAAAATGTGACAATCCTGGGAAATATAAATATATATTGCTATATTTATATGTGCATTTGTCTCAGGAGACCTGGCGGGGAGTGGTGGGTAGCAGAGTGCGTTCCTGTAGGATTGGAGTAGGCAGAGATAACTGGGTAAAGCAGAGCCTGTCCCAGATCACGTCAATGCACAGTCAATAAATACAAATGACCATGAGAGCTAATATTTATTGAGCACTTACTATGCATCAGGCACTGTGCTATGTCTGTTGTATGCATTGCTTCATTTAACCTGTGCCCACATCCTGTGTAGCTCTGCCTAAGTCCCCTCGCATCCCTTTCCCATATTCCTGCACACTGTTATCAGCGTGTGCTGTGCTCCCAGCAGCCAGCACCACGGCTCTGTGTGGGGGACAGTCCTCGAGCTACTGGAACCGCTTTGCTTCCCAGCTCAGAGAGCAGAAGTTCCTGAGACTTTACCGGTGACCAGCCAGTGCAGGGGACAATCACCCCAGCTCCCTCTGTCACCTGTCTTGTTCCCAGTCCTCCCCTCCATGGCATTTTGCTTGATTCTCAATCTTGCTTGGCCCCCTTCCCTTCCCTAGTCCCACTCCTCAGTTTGGGGACACTTCTTAATAAACCACGTTCACATGAGTCCTCATCTCAGGTTTGGCTTCTGGGGACCCCAAACTTAGGCAAGATACTGTTAGTACAGTCATTTTACAAATGAGGAAACTGAGGTTGTCTCTCTCTCTCTTACATACACATACACTCTCTTTCTCCCTCTCTTTTTCTTCTCTCCCTCCCTCCCTCCCTCTCTCCCTCCCTCTCTCTCTCTCTCTCTCTCTCTCTCACACACACACACACACACACACACATACACACATCGAGCTAACACCTACTCATCCTTCAGATGAAAGCTTGAACTTCACCCTCTCAGGCGGTCCTCCCTGATTCCCAGTCTAGCTGAAGGCTCTCAGAGCCGTCCTTTGTAGTGCTCACTTTGGTTCTCAGTCTACAATGATCTGTGTGATGATTTTCACTAGTCACCATCCCCCTGCTAGACTGCTGGCTCTGGGAGTTCAGGGACCCCATCTCTTGTGCTCTTAGCTGTATCTCCAGCACCCTAGCAGAGCTTCTAGAACATAGTGATTGCTCAGTAAATATTTCCTGAATGGACGAATGATTTGAAGTTCCTTTAATTTCCTCACAGGTGCTCGCTGGCCTCCTAGATGCATCTCAGACTCTGCATGGGCCAGAAATGAGTAATGTATAACCCCCAAGGGTGACATAAGATCTCCCACCCAATTCTGTTCTTCTGGGTATTTAGGGAAGAGCAATATCCAGGGCAAGGTGATGGTACTTCGCTCCACGGGACAGAAATTTAGCATCAACTGGAGAGTTGAATCTAGAGGGTGGTCTGGGAGGCTGGGTAGAATTGGATTGATTATTAGGAGAAAATTCGAATAATATCATTTAAGTACACACACATTCTGAATTAAATACACATTTGTGGATCCCTGTACTTCTTAATAAAAGGACACTTAGTTCCAAGTTCTCGTTAAGAAGCTGATAAGCATCCATTTTCTTCTATTCCGACAATGATTATTCCTCAACTCTATAAAATTTACAAACTGCTTCGGAAGCATTGGTGGAGAAAGGTGCTGTATGAATATATGAGATTATTGAAATAAATGCTGATTTAGAGATTTCCCAGGTGGAGAGTTAAAATATACTGGGGCACATGCACTCACTCTCACCCCACCCTCAGGGTACTTTCCGCTCTGATCAGCGGAGATAAATTTTCCGACCTGACAGTTGACTGTAAATCAAGAAGTGTGTTTTAATAGTCACCACCTTTCTGCTTCTGTGTGCTGCTGTCTGAGGCAATCCTTCACCTCCCGGGACACAAGACCTGAAGGATTTTGGCACATTCTCTCCCCTGCACGTGGAGAGGTGGTGCTTAGCAGCAAGGTAAATATTGGCAGGCTTGTAGGCGAGCAGTGAATATAAATAAGTCAGGACATCCTTAGAAAAGTTCATCTCTGGATCCACCGTTCTTTTTGCCAATAGGTAAGAAAATAGAAAATCATGAGTTTCTCAGGTTTTTGCCAAATCACAACAAGATATTTTTGTAACAATATAAAAGCTAGAAAGTATTTGAGAGTCAGTAAATGCTGAATAAATAATTCTGAAGGTGAACACATGCCCTTATTGCCACAAGCCCTGATTACTGGGTTGGATTACTACACTTGCTCCTCCTGACTTTATCCCTCATAATCCTGTCCATCAACGTTTGCTTGGAGTAACGCAAATAAACCAGGCTGTTCCATGCCCCAGTGTCTTTGCACCTGCTGCTGTTTATGCCCGGACTGGAACCCTTTCCATTAATCCACGTGGGCCAGGGACATTTTCTGATCTTTCAACACTTGGTACCAGGATCACCTTTAATTTGCTTTATGAAGCTTTTCTTGACAAACTCTCTCACTCCCAGACCTGCCACTTCATCCTGTACAAATGTGATTGCACATGTCTATTTAACACAAACATCACTGGCCTCTCTTGGCAAGTCTCTGCTCATATCCTGTACTCCCTCTGAGGCCATAATCAACACTTCATTGCTACCCAGTTGCCCTTTGTGACTTCTCAAGCCTCTTCCCAAAGCATTTTGAGTAATGTAGCTTTTACTGAAATGTTCACAAGGGAGAAAAGTGGAGGGCTTACACTGAACACCATGTGGCCAAACTTCATAAAAATCTCCATCATTCCAAAAGCCTGTTCTCCTTTTGCCAGCTGCCTTCTCTCCTCTGTCTCTTCCATTCTCTGCTCTCCTCTAACCTCCTTTCACCCTTGGATCCCTCAACACGGCCACAATCCCAGCTCACAATCCAGCCCTTTCAGCCCTTTCTCCTTCATTAACTTGTGTCCTTGAAGTTTTAGGTCCTATTCATCAAACAAAGTATCTCTGTGAGATCACTCCCCTTTAAAAGGCAAGGGTCACAAAATCTCCACATTTCTTCTCCTTCCACTAAAGACTGGAGCAACTTGAGGGTAGGAATCAAGCCCTATACACTTTTGCATCTCTTCTGCAAAATATTTAAAATATTGTGAAATGGAAGAAGAAATAAATGAAAAAATATAGCCACAGGTTAAAATCCCCAAAGCCCCACTCTAATCACAGTTTTCTTCTGTTTGAAGATCTTCCTTACCTCGTGAACTCATGCTTTGGTCATCTGCCATTTCTCCCTGACTCTAGCACTCTGCCCCGCCATGATGGGCCCTCTCCACTCCAGCCCACTGGGCGTGTTCTTGCCCTCAGGTGCTCATTCGGGTTGTCTCTCCAGGCCTAGAATAATCTATGTCATTCATGAGGATGGTTGGCGGTGGTTTACCATCACCCTATTGGAGGCCAAGGTAGACGCAACTGTTCTGGTTTCGTAGGTCCGTCCTAACCCTTCCCAGTCTTCAAGGCTCAGTGCGGGTCTTTGCTTCCTCAGCAGACTTCATGGAGGTCTGCAGTCCAGGCGTAATGCTCTCTCTCATGTCCTTAGGACATAAGCCTTGAACACATCCACTCTGATGGCACTTAATCATTCAGCCTTATATCATTGTTAAATTTGGGGTATGAGGCCTTGAGGTCATCCTCTTTCCAAAATGTGGTCATCATTAGGTCTGTTCACCAAAATTTTAGGTGTTTTCCTCATTTCTAGACTTGTGGTAAGTTTGTACTTGTCTAACCCCTTGAAGCTATGTGTGGCTGTCTAATTGACTCTGGCTAATGACATGTGAACAGAATTGACATAAGCCCCTTTGGGAAATAAGCTTTCAGAGGAAGAGTGATGGATCATGCTGTCTTTCCCTCTGACATGGCGACTGGCAGTGTTTGAGGCATCTGGTGGATTGTCCATCAGCCTGGGTCTGTGAATGAGGACCCAGCGATTCACATGGGCATTTGGTATGAGCAAGAAGTAAACCTTTGTTATGTTATGCCATTTAGATTCAGAGATTATTTGAACAATTAATAACATAAATAAATAAATGTGTGTTGCTGCAGCACAACCAATCCTATCCAGACAGACTCTAAGTTCCCTGAAGGCAGCACTCAGGTATAACTCACCTTTCTGTCCCCCAGAGAACATAGCACAATGCCTCACGGATGTTCGAGAACTACTGCTGATTGATTAGACATACTGTGATAAGGTAAAATATATGAGACTAGAGAGTAGTACTTGGTGTCAGGACTTCAACTTGAGACTTAGCCTCTAAAAAACCAAAATAAATGTACGTGATGATTTCAGTAGTATTCCAATAAGATCGTTGCATACAGGGAGGCAGAAGAGTGTAATGCAAGGAACCTGGGCTCTCTAGCTTGATAGACCTGGTTCAAGTGCAAGCTTTACCAGGTACTTGGCTGCATGACCTTGGGCTGGTTATTTAAGGTCTTTGAGGCTGGGAGAACATCACTACTTACTAGGAAGGATTATTGTGGGGATTAAACAAGAGAATGTATGTAAAGCCCTTGGCACATAATGAATGGTCAACAAACGTCATTCTCTTAGGCTCTCCTCCCACCAACTGCGTGTGGGTTGGTATGAACTCTTGCTTAATTCTCTGGGAACTACTTCCCTTCATTTACACCCTCTGAGACCTTGGTTGCTCGCCTAGTCCCTGGATTTCTTTAGCTTGGCCTACCTCAGATCCTTAGGATTTTGCTTTCCCTACCCCATGCACACTCTGGCCTTCTGAGAAATTCCATATGCAAATGGTCACAGTTGACAGGAGCCCTTGGCAAAGGACTGCAATGGGGGAAAAGGGTTCTTGAGACAGACTGTCTGCTGCCCCAAATTTAAAATAGGGCCCTTGGTAAGGTGTGTATAGTCAGGGAGGTGATCTCTATGGGGAAGAAAGAATTTAAGATGTCATGGTGACCAGTTCCAAGGAAGCCCCACCTTGGCCTGTGCCCTGGCTCTAATGGCGGGGGGTTCTTCTCTTGAATCCTGGGATTGTATCAGTGATGGTCGCAGAGAGGTCTGTGAGATTATCTTCAATGACTGACTCCTTCCACAGACTGGGTCTTGGTGTGGGGCCCGAGGGCTTATGTTTTCTTGGACTCCTGGCCCAGTGAACTGTGTGTTTACAGGTTTACAATTGTCCCTGACTGAGTCCTTGAGGCCACCTCCCCCCTTCCCCTCCCCATGGAGCGCAACCGTGATGTGGCATATCTAACCACCCCAAGGTGCTTGTGTAACTTGTTTTTCAAAGTCTTGGCAGGAGCTCCGGTCCTGAAGTGAGAAAGGGTGTTTACATTCTGGAAGAGCAGTGCCGACAAATGTCTTGCATCAGGGCTGTTCTCCACCAATCTCTGCTTCCCAGTTTTCTTCTCTGTGGGATGGCTTGTGACAGCCACAGAGATAGTCTGGGACCTGGAAGAAACGAGCCTGAACGTGAAAGCAGGTAGGCTGTGAGGCGGCCCTCATGAAGCTTCAGGGCTATGTAAACCGCCCTCCCTGGAAAGGTGAGGAGCTTCTTGAGGATGAGGCGTTTGCTGCCCCACTGCCTGGTGCGGGGCCTCACACAGAGCGCAGCGCTGCCTGCAGGCGCTCAACAGACACGCGCTAAGTCAGTACACGGTGAAAATACGTGGGAAGGCAACATTTGAGAGGACACATTGGGAACTGACACCCCAGTTAACAGCTTTCTTGGAACAGTACTTACAGTAATAACAACAACGGTTATTGGTTATACCTCCTCTATGCCAAGCAAAGGCGTATATTATTTCCTTAAATTCTACCATAGTCAATAGTTCTAGCAAGACGTAGTCCTCTCTCCAGTGAATAGCGGAGGGCACGGAGACTCATGGGCAGAGTCTGAGCATCTCACCGGAGGTCACGGAGACAGTAAACCCGAATTCCGAGCCCCTTGGGTGCACGGAAGCCAGTGCTTTTCCGCTTCCGGTTCCTCCACACCGCCCCTCACCCCTGCTGTCTCTGCCTCGTGAAACAACGGTAGGGCAGCTGTCCGTTCTTTTCGTCATTTCTTCCTCTAGCAAATAGGCGTGAATTCAGCACGGAAAGAGCACTGGGGCGGCAGCCCCATTCCAGATGTCTGCTTTGTCATCCTTAAGAACACCCGCCCGTGTTCAAGGCCTTCTAGTACCTCAGTCTCGCAACCCTCCCTGGAGAGCGCCCTCCCCTCCCCTCCTCCCTTCCTCCCTCCCTTCCTCGTGGCCACTCAAGGCTTCCTTCTTTTCTTCTTCTGCCTGGCATCAAGGCCAGGTTTTCACTTCACTAGAAAAACCTTGCTACAGGTGTTATTCTGTGGACAGTCCCTGGCACTCAAATGTGCACTCAATAAATATTTACTGAATTGCACGCTAAATTCTAGACAAAAGAAGAAAAGAGTGGATCCAGAAGAAAATTGAAAAGCTTCGGGAGTGGGGGAGTGAGTGCAATAACCAACTCTCTTTCCTTCCCCCTGCCCGCCCCCCTCCCTTAGGAGGGAGGCAGCGGCACAGTCAGTGTTAAGGCTGTCATTTGATTACAGTAACATCCAAACAGATTGAAAAGCTCCCATCAATGCCGGAGCAGAAGTGCACACGCAGGGGGTTGTTTCCTTGGAAATGTTTCAGCTGTGATTACTTTCCAAAGAGAAATAGCCAAAACACTTCCTTGACCCTCTGGGGAGAAGAAGTCACAATTGGACAGAAAGTCATTTCTGTGGCCTTTCGTTCGTGTGTGTGTGTGTGTGTGTGTGTGTGTGTGTGTGTGTGTGGCGCATGCGCGTGCCGCTGCACCTTTGGCGTGTACTGTCCGTAGGGCGCCTTTGACAGCCGGTCTATTCAAAGGCTGGGGCCGTGGGTTGGCGGCTCGGTGCCTGCCGCCGCGGTGGCTGAGATCATGCTGTTGATTTTATTTTACAGAGAGCAGCCCGGCCTGTTGTGCAGAGTACAGAATGTTCTCTTCTGTGAACTGAGCTTGAACTTTTCCAACCCACTTTGTTTGGGGAACCATACAGACACAGAGGGGAAAAGATAGGGAAGATAACCCCCAAATGGTTGAAATCATTGTGTTCTCTCTGATTTTGGCACAGATCGTTTGCTTTTCACTGCTCCAAATTAAAAATCCCAAGCATTACAGTTCTTGGAAAAATGGAATGCCTGTGATGTCTTTTCTCTAACTCAGGGCTCTGGCTTTGACTTTGGAAATTAACAAGTCGGTCACTGTCACTCCTCAATTTCCTTTTTTTTTTTCTCCTAGGCATTCAAGGGACAGGGACAACAAAAGCTGTTTCCCTATAAGGAAAAGAAAAGGTTCCCAGTGCCTGTGACTTCTCTCCCAGTTGTTCAGGCTGTCACAACATTACAAATAGTGTTCCCCAATTTGCCATATGGCCTGAGATTTCATAATGAGGGCTTTGGGTCTTTGGCCTTCATATACATCACCAACATGAGAAGCTGCCAATGCTTGGTAAAGTGGTTTGAAATTTATCTTTGAAAACCATTGTCTAGTCTTAGGCTCGAGTCTCCAGTTTGGGGATACACGGATAAATGTTTAGGGGGGGCTGCTTAGAGAATCTGAGGCAAGACCCCTATTGGATAGGCAGCAGTTTTCCGACTTCTTGTTATTTTTAATAGCAGTGGATTCCTTTCTTTATACGAAAACGTACCAAAAACTCGCTAGTGAAGCAGGAAGAGCACAACTTTGTGGGAGCGGAGCTGGGAATCTGAAGTGTGAGCGCTGGATTTGAGTCTCCTAAGCATGGGTATGTCTATCATATTGGACAAGTCATGTTTTCTAAAACTTGATTGGTGAAAGGGGCATAAAGCTTGTCTTGTGTACTTGCAGAGTCATTTATACGAGTTGAGTGCTATCCCGCTGTACCGACAAAAGAGATTCTCCTCTTGAATTTGCAGCTCCATCACCTACCTCATAGTTTGGGGGCTGCTGCCTCGTGGCTCTTGCTCATAGCTGGCAACTGGGAGATTCCTACAAGACTAACTTTACTTCTGAGATGATTCTAGTTTCTCAAGATTCCCTGCAGCCTTTTTTCTTTTTAAGTCAACGTGCCATCAGAATATTGGTTAATTAGTTCCTTCATTCCATAAACTTCCTTTGAATACTTGCTAGGTTTAAGTTACTGGATGGGATCTAGGAGTTTGGAGATGAGTAGAATGTGTTCAATGACTTCAAAGAGTTTGTTGTCCAGTGGGAGAAGCAGAAATACACACACACATACATATACATACATACACATACTGCCCATATACACACATAGTATGTATATACATATGTAATACTTACTGTATAAAGGAAGTTGATACATGTTTAACGGAGCTACAAGTAATAAACTGTGAAGGCAGAGTGTCACAGGAACAAGATGAGGATTCTAATAGGTGGAAGTTGAGGCAAGATCAGTCTAGACAGCAAAAGGAATCATGAAAATTGATGGTCTTTGTTAATAGAAGCGTGTAGTATATTTGGGTAATAAAGAGTAGTTCTTGTGGCCGAGCAGTTGATGCTAGAGTATGTGGGAAGAAGCAAAATAATAGATTGAGCCTAAATCAGGATGTCCACATCTCCCGCTTGTGCCCGTTTTAACCTTTCTTGCTAATTTTGTATGAAGCCTCAGAATCCTTCTCAACACAATTCCCCAAGAAGCCACCACTAATCATTTGGAGTTGGCATTTGAGATAAAATCATTTTTCATTCCTGGCTTGGGCCTTAAATCCCATGCTTACATATTTATATTTTATTTGGTTGTTCTTGGGGAATTACTGCATGTTTTTAAGAATCAGAATATACAAATGAATGACATGATTCAACCTATGATTTTATAAGGTAGCTGATGACCACAGGAAGGATCCGTGAGAAAGGCCAGAGAGTGGAAACTGAAACTGACTGACAACAGACTGGAAAGAGAGAGTCTGGTAAGAAGACTTCACAAATCATCTACAACAGCATGAGTGGGAGGGAAAAGTAGGTTAGACGGATAGGGCATTGTGGAGGTAGAAATGATAGAACTTGCTGATGCTGGAGGGAGAAAGAAGACTTGATGATAACTGAGTTTTCTCATCTGGGTTATGGGGAGAAGATTGCTCTGGTCTGAACGTGTCCCCCTCCCAATTCATATAGAGAAATCCTAACTTCCAAAGATAATGGTATTAGGAGGTAGGACCTTTGGGAGGGGCTTAAGTCATGAGGTGGAGCTCCCATGGGTGAGACCAGTGCCTTTCTTGTAAGAGAGGCTCCAGAGAGATCCCTAGCCCCTTCTGCCATGTGAAGATACAACGAGAAGTCTTTGATCCAGAAGAGGGCCCTCAGCCAACCATGCTGGTGCCGTGATCTTGGACTTCCAGCCTCCAGAACTGTGAGAAATATATCTTTATTGTTTGTAAGCTACTCAATCTATGATATTTTGTGACAGCAGCTTGAATGGACTAAGACAGGGGCCCAAAGAAGGAACGCAGGAAGAAGAGCTTTTTATTCTTTTAATAAAGGGAAGATGAGGTATTGAGTTTCAGACAGGTTGGACTTGAGGGATACGTGCGATATCTATGGAGAGAATTCCAGCCATCATTTGGAATTACACATCTGGAGCCAAGAGCTAAAGAAGTAATTCAGGATTCAGCCACATAGAGGAACCAAAGAAAGCCCTAGGAAGAGAGCCACACAGGTCATGTACAGACCTGCAGGAAGAGAGGGCCAGGTTAGACCTTGGGAAGTGCTTATGTTAATGAACAGCAGAAGAAGGGTGTCTGAGAAGTAATATAAATTCCTAATAATATGAGGCGCCATTAGTTAGATCTGGTCCTCCGTTCCCGTATCTGAGCATCTGATTCTTCTTTAATACAGAACAATGACTCACCTGAATGCAACCTGTTTGGTGTCTGTCTGAGAATTCAAGAAATAGATAGTTTTCTCCTGCATGTCCTTTAAGGTAGTGTTTCCCAAACTCTTTTGATGGTTGACCATGACCCACAGTGAGAAATATATTTTACACATACACATATAATTACGTAACTAAAATAAAAGGCTTCGATGAAACAATATCTACCTGTACCTTCTGCAATTAATGCTATTTTCTATTTTATTCTATTTCATTAAAAAAATGCTGGTTGGGGCCCCATATGTTGATATCACAACCACTAATGTGTGACTGCTTGCAGGAGCCGGGATTAAGGGACTGTGGTTTCTGCAAGTCCGCTGTCCGTCTAGGGGTTGGCATCTTCCAGGAGAGGCTAGAGCTTGTGAGTCTCAGCTCAGCCTGAGGACCCATGGAGAAGAACGTAATTCCAGCTCCAAAGGCCTCTCTTGCACAGAAGAATTTTTAGCGTTGAGAGGAAGTCTAGGTGAGTTCCACCAGCAGGGTTGGTTATATTGCTCCCAAATGCAAATAATAATAATAATAACAACAATGATACCTATTAAGTCAGGCACTTTACATACATTATTAACACAATTCCATAATAAGCCTGTAAGGGAAGTGTAATTATTTCCTCCATTTTACAGATGAGAAATGCTGAGGCCAAGAGAGAGAACTTGCCCATGATCATACAGCCAGTAAATGGGGAAGCTGAGATTCAAACTCAGTCAGTCGGCTTGCGGAATTGTGACAATAAGCTGTATCTTCTGGGTCTGGCTGGGCCCCTGCCATCCCTGTCAGTTCCTGTGTATCTCTTAGCAAGGACTGGTCTTTTCTCATGGTGCTCTGTTCCTTCTCCCAGTGGACCCTTGGTGCATTTAAAAGTTTCATGAATATAACCAAATATCTGACGTGTTCAGGAAGTAGAGGCAGGAAAAGAGAAAGGAGAGGGAAAAGTAAGGCGGCAGTGGGGTGGGTTGAGGAATGTGCTTTTGAGGCTGGGCTGGAGCAGGCAGTGTGAAGGGGTAGAGTGCTGCTCCTCATCACCATTACCTGGCAACAGCGTCTGGACCACCTCTGCTTCCATCTTCACCCCTGACAATCCATCCACCCTCCACATGTCCACTAGGCTTATCTTTCCAAAGCAGCACTGTCCTCATCACTCCCCTAGTTCGTGCTTCCTGCTGACATATCTGACTTTTCCTGTCCCCAACTGAACTCTTCCTCTCTCCCTCAACGCCAACTCCCCCTTCCCGCCCCACCCACCGTCTGCTCTTCAGATGGCCATTCCAGACTCGCAGTTGGCCCCACCCTCCCTTCCCCACTCCTGTCCCACTATTTCCCCACATGAAGCTCAGCCTGGCAAGTTTTCTGTCTGTCCCTGCAAGCATGGGGCTTGTCTGATCTCAGCGCCTTCGCCCATGTTGTGTCCCTGCCTGGAATGCACCCATCCTCCACCCCCTCTCTATACCTACTCATCCTTCAGACCCAGTTCAGGGCTTGCCTCTACCCTGATAGCTTCCTCTGATCTCTTCCTTTATCTTTGCAAATCTGCTTTTGCATCATCCCTTTAGGAATATCACCAAATACTGTAGAGTATTTAAATGGTTCATGTTTATACCCTCAACCAGATTCATTCATTCATTTTGAAACTATTTATTGAATTGCCTGTTAAGTTGCAGACACAGGAAGTTCAATGACAATGAAAGCAGAAGAGGTGTTATAACTCCAGGATCCACAAACAGGGCCAGAACAGTGTGGTGGAGGGCTATTGTTCTTTTTTTTTTTTTCTTTTAAAGATTGGCAGCTGAGCTAACATCTGTTGCTAATCTTCCTCTTTTTTTTCTTCTTCTTCTTCTCTCCAAATCCCTCCAGTACATAGTTGTGTATTCTAGTTGTAGGTCCTTCTGGTTGTGTTATGTGGGACACCCCCTCAGCATGGCCTGATGAGCGGTGCCATGTCTGTGTCCAGGATCTGAACCGGTGAAACCCTGGGCCACCAAAGCAGAGCGTGCAAACTTAACTACTTGGCCACGGCGTCGGCCCTAGGGCTATTGCTTTTAACACCCAGCTTCTGTTCACCTTCTAGAAAACGCCTGAATTTTGAGGGGTCATCCTCTGATGTACTAGTTCATGTTGTATGAGCAGGGCTGACCTCCCCACCTTGAATGGAGTGGGCGTGTGACAGAGGCCTGGCCAGTGAGAGACCTGCATTCCCCTGGTCACAGATATAGGTTCAGAGGTGGGTACATCATTCTGGCTAGGCCAATGGCAGTCAGCCCTAGGTTCTTGCTAGAACTATCTGGGGATGCCAAGCCGGTGGAACGTGAGCTAGGATCTTCTGGAAATTATTATTGCCTCCACTGGAGAAGGCCTGTCTGAAGATGAAGCCAACATGAAGGAAATCAGAGTTGAGGGTTGGAAAGCAACTGATTCTGGATAACATCTTTTGAGCATTTAGATCCCTGAAGTCAATAAATTCTCTATTTGCTTAGGTCGTTCTCTGTTGAGATTCTGTAACCTGCAACTAAAAGAGTTCTAAATATTGCAGTGCATCCTTCATCATCCATGCTCTATGAGCCTCTGCAAGTGAATAACAGATCAAAGAACAGTCCTCTGGCATCTGGCCTGAAACTCCTTCCCCGACCCTAACTAGCCTCCACTGATTCCCAGCTCAGGTTGGGTTGAGCATCAGATTACAGTGAGTCAACGAGTTTCGCATAGCTCTGGTGACAGAGGAGCACAGCCTTTTCCCACAGCTCCTTGCCTGGAGCTGGCATCCTCCAACTGCTCAGTGTATACCTGGAGCTTCTGTGCTCGCTCCTATGGGTCCTGTGGTGCAAATAGTTGGTTTTGCCTCTCTGCAAATGATAAAAATTATTCCTCTATCATTTGATATGATAAGCATATCTCTAAATTAAACAGGATCCTCATATTGAGCCAGAGTGATGGTAATGTCCCATAAGCTTATAGTGGGCTTATAAACTGTAAGTGGTGGTGACAAAGTGACAATAGAGAAAGGAAAACTTAGAGTAATCATTTTAATAAGGGCTATGGGAGGGTGGTGGCTACTGCATATGTATTTTATCTGTTCTCTGATAAATTCCTATAAATCAATCAATCCTTCAATCAATTGGCATATATTAATAGTACCGACTAGAATTAGGCATCAAATTTTTTTAGTTGTCTTGCACAGACCTAAGCCAGAGGTTGCTTAATAAATATTTTAGTGATTAATAATGGTTTGCAGCCTTGATGTTATTTAGAGATATGATCGAACAGATAGAGAACAAATTCTTGGTTCCCAAGACAGTGCTCATCTCCACTCCTGGGTCAAAGAACCACCAAGTATTCCTGAGCTGTGGTAGTGGTGTTGGTAGGAATAGTTTCCTTTCCTCCAACATTTAGCCTCTGATTCTTGCAATATTGCAGTTCCAAAAGTCAGAAGCTGGGGAAGACTTCAAAATGCTTTTAACAGGACAGGTTATGCCTTGAACTAAATCACTGCCTCACCTTAAATGTCCCTAGGCTGCCACAGCTGGCTTCCTGTGCCTGCGTTTAGTCTCGGGCTAAGGCCACATGGACACACCCTTGGCTCAGGCCCAAGTTGGATCTTCTGCATCTGAAGGTGTCCCTCTTACTTAAGCCCTTTTGGCTGGTGAATATTTGGAACATTTTGGGTGCCCCTTCTGACCTCTTTTAGTTAAATCCCTCTGTAGTAAATCATACTAGAAAAATGTCAGTGACCTTCTGCTAACCGAGTCCTATAAACAGCTCCTGTTAGAGGCGCTTTCAGAAGTAAGACCGGCCGCTCGTCTGCATGCGAGATGGGTGGGCAATGGGCGATCTTACAAGAGAGTATGATTTCATTAGAACCTGTGAGGAGCAGGACTTTTCATTCAGCTAGTTCCTATTAAAGCTCAGAATCCTTTTTGAGGCAGAACAACACCTTCCCTCACCCAAATATCCCAGGAATCATTAGACTTTAAAGATCCAGTAACAGTTTTATTTTCCTATTGTCAAGATGGGAAACATTTAACTCACCTCCCTTCCTTCCCTGAGGTTGGGTAGCCGTTGGTTTTAGGGCGACTCCAAGGCAATGGTTCTCCTGGTCAGTGGTTCTCTCCCTCGGGGGCACACTGTAATCTCCTGGAGATTTTAAAGATCGTTGATGCCTGGGGCCTAGAGAGTCTGAATTATGTGGTCTGGGGTGCATCTCGGCATCAGGATTGAAAAGCTTTCCCAGATATTCATAATGTGCTGTAGTTGTGTGATCTGACGAGGGCCAGAAGAAAAAAAAGGCTAAACCCAGCCTTTGTTTATGAAGGTTATCATTACCCAGAATTTACTTTTTATATACCACAGAATATGACTTTCTAATAAAGAAATTTGGAAAAATCTTTTGTTTGTGTTTTGATTGTAATCGAGGAGAGTAAAAGTCTTCACCTTGCCTGTTCCAAAGGATTGTTGTGGAGCCTAAATGAGACTAAGCGGTAGTTGGGGGTGGGGGGTGGGGGTGGGGGGTGGCCAGTGCTTTGTGAACCAGGATTTGCAGCCTCACACGCCCCGAGGCGGGTGGGAGGGGTAGTCCGGGTGGGGTCAGGCAGGTAAGTGCTGGAGGAGGTAGCAGGATACAGGACAACAAAGAGCTGTAGGTGTGGGGTGAGGCAGGTGTCCTGTCTCAAGGGAGGACACTGGCCCAGCTCTGGCTGATTGTTGCCAAATAAGTCTGCACCTAATGTTGCCAGAACTTTTTCTTTTAAAGATTTTATTTTTATTTGTTTTTTTATTTTTCATTTTTCCTTCTTCTCCCCAAAGCCTCCCAGTACATAGTTGTATATTTTTAGTTGTCGGTCCTTCTAGTTGTGGCATGTGGGATGCTGCCTCAGCATGGCTTGATGAGCAGTGCTAGGTCCGTGCCCAGGATCTGAACTGGCAAAACCCTGGGGCGCCAAAATAGAGCGTGTGAACTTAACCACTGGGCCACCGGGAGGGCCCCCAGAACTTTTTTTTTAGGAGAAGACACACGTTAGAATTTTTATGCAGAATTTCTCAATTTTAAAAACACTGAGTGCCAAAAAGCACATTTGGGAACTAAACCCATGGATCATTGTTTTATGAACTCTAAAACTGTGAAGGGATGGGAACCTGTTTAAAATCAGATTTTTTGTTTGTTTGTTTTAGTAAATCATTCCATTTCAGCAACTTACTTTTATTCTCATTGTCATACAGATTGACTCTCTCCTCTTAGGTTGCTTTGCTAGAGGAAGAAGAGTTCTCTATGCTCAGAGGCAGTAGACAACTTGTTAGTTTGTTCTTTGGGAGTTTCCTAAGCTTTAAGGAGTTGGCATGCCAGGTGGGGAAGATGGCTTGGGAAGGAGTTCTGAGCTGAAAAGAACCTTGCCTGCTATACTATGTGGTTTTGAGCAGTCTAGCTACCTCTGAGCCAAGCGGGCTGGGCCGGGGTCAGGGTCTGTGGGGTGGGCGAAGAGGCAGAAGGGAAGAAAGGAGTGTCCTGGATGAATACAGGTGTTGACAGAGTTCCTGGTGCACAATGGTCCTGCTTATGCCCAGCGAGTGGTATTAAGAGAGGGACAAGGTAGAGAGTACTCAAGGTCAGACGTAAGAGGGAACCAAGAGGAGAGCGGAATTTCGTCATAGGAGAAGGAGGTGCTGAGAGTTAGATTTGAGTAAGGCTGATTTGTCCTCATGCTTTGAGAAGCTGCTGGATTTTTGGATGAAATTTTGGCTGTGGAACCAGTGGATATTCCTGCTTTGCTGCTCCCTCATTCTTGTTTCTTTAGAGCGTTCCAAAAAAGAAGAAATATCACAGGGAAAGGAGAAAGCTGTTGTTTGGACATAAATGTCCTCAACAGAGACCAGGAAGGATAAGGGAAGCTACTAAAACATACAGGATGCTAAACCAGTTTATGCTGAACTGGGCTGCACCATGCTAAACGTTTTCTCCACACTTTCTTTGAAAGTCTCCTTAGTTCCTTCCCGTCCTCATTCTACAAGACGGCATGTAATGCCCTTTCAAGTGTGGAGAAACTGCAGAATTCTTCAAACAAAAAACCAAGAAACACCAAAAGATTGCAAAAGCAATTTCTTCAAATTTAAGACATCTTAGCATCTCAATATCTAGAAATAAATAGAAAACAGAGAAGAGAACTATTGCAAATCCTTTTGTGAAGTAAATGTAGAATGTGTAGTCCCACCTAAGTATATATGTTTTGTGGATCTGAGTTTGGGTTTTCCGTCTTCCTCTTTTTTTTTTAATGGTGTTTAATCTCAACTTATCTCCTTTTTTTTGTTTTTGTTTTTTTTCTTGGCTGGGAAAGATTCAGTCTGAGCTAACACCTGTTGCCAATCTTCCTCTCTCTTTTTTTCTCTCTCCCTAAAGCCCCAGTACATACTTGTATCTTCTGGTTATAGGTCCTTCTACTTCTTCTATGTGAGCCACTGCCACAGCATGGCTACTGACAGACGGGTGGTGTGGTTGCACATCTGGGAACTGAACTCAGGCTGCCAAAGTGGAGTGAGCTGAAATTTAACCACTAGGCCATCAGGGCTGGCTCAGTTTGGGTTTTCTTAAAGTGGGACATATCTGTGTCTTAAGAAGACCTCTCCCCTAAGGTGAAGTAACTTTGAAATCAATGAACATGAGCAATTATCACCATCATCCATTTCCCCTTCCTCCCCGTACTATCTACATGGGTTTCCTGTTTTGTGTTGGGAGTTGAATAGAATCATAGCAAGTTAGAGTAGAAAGGGAGTGTTGATATCCTCGATTCTGTCCTCTTCAATTTGCAAATGAGGACACTGAGACTCAAAGAGTTAGAGGGAAATGTCCGGCGTCACAAGGTCAAGTAGTTGCTATAATGACATTCTTGATCTTACCCAACATCTAGGCCCTAGTTTATTCCTCTCAACATAATTCCAGTTTTGGGATCTATCCTTCTCCAGTGTGACTCAGGGATACCCAATGTGACACCATTTCCAGCTCCAGGGTAGATCCTGGTTAATCCAAGCCAATTAATGCATGGCATTCTCCTGGCAACTGCTATTAAGCCAATAGTGAGTATATGACCTATGGTGGCCCAGTCCCTACTGAAGGAGGGGACTTGTGTCCCATGCTTGGGGGAGAAGACTCTTTCTCTTTCCTGCATGTAGCCTCTATCACCATTGGGAGCCATCCTTTCATGCTTAGGGGTCTATCTGATGCAGGTGTCCAGGCCCAATTAGAACACAGCTCCATCTCCACTAAGTGAAATGTACTTCTCATTATACCATACAATTGCCTCACAATTGCCAGCAGGCTAGGCTATACCCCTGGCATCAGGGCAAAGGGAACATTTCCAACTTTTCTAGGCTGCTGAGTAGCCATAGATGGCACTGAGGGAATTTCCGTGGGTCAGTCTCTGGCGATTGAATCTTGTGCTGGTCCCCAGTGCTGTGAATTGCATTGCCTGTATTCGTGTAGGGCTAATGAGACAGAAGAGAAGGAAACTACCTGAACTAGCCAAGATATTTTAGTTACAAGTGACAGATGATGCAATGCAACATGCCTAAATAATAAAAGGAATATATTGGTTTAAGTAAATAAAAAGTACTTGGGTGTGTGACCCAATCTACAGGCTCAAATGATGTCATTAGGATCCTGCCTCTAGTCACTTCTTAGCTGTCCTATTAACCACATTGGCTTTATTTATTCTCACATTCCACAGGAGGGCAAGATGGCAGCCGACAACTCCAGACACTTTCTACCCTGCTCAAGACCAATGGGAAAGAGGTGGGCCTCTCTCCTGTCTCAGGTGATGCAAATGTCTTAAAAGATGTGGTATCTGATGTTGGGTACAACCCTTCACTCCTCAAGCTGAAGCTCTGGGTTTTGAGCTCCCTCCTGATTGTGGGTCGCTGTGCAGGTGTCAGGTTTATGGCGAGATTGTGTCTTGGCTTTGTCCTATATGCTTTGATGTCGCTTCTCCCCTCTTAGCCTGATGTGAAGGGGTCACTCTGCCAGTTTTTAGGTTTTTTCCAGAGGAAATTGTTCCATATATACCCGCATTTGGTGTGTCTGTGGGAGGAGGTGAGTTCAGTATCTTCCTAATTCACCATCTTGCACCAGAACCCCTATGCAAATCTCTTCTTGCCTCTCATCAGCTCTGATTGGGTCACAAGCCCATTCCTGAACCAATCACGATGGCAGTGCTCCGAATGGCCAGGAGGCCTGAGGTGCGTGTCTCGCCCTGAACTGAAGGATGTCGACTGAGAATGGCAGCAGATCCCCAGAGGAAAATCACTGTTGTTACCCAGGAGACCGGCGAATATGTCCCGGCTGTCCAACTGGATACCTAGAAGCTTTTCTAAATGTGTAGATTTTTTTGGTTTATATTGTGCAAAGAGCAGAGAATTTGAAATCAGAAAGCTGAGATTTCAGTCCTGGCTCTCTCAGTCTCAGCTCCATAATTGTTAATGGGACAGAAGACTTTTATTTAATTGGATCCCGGTGTTGTTCTGAGGCTTGAATGAGATCCTGCATAGGAAAGTACGTTTTAAAATATTAAGGGCTAAACCAAAATGAGGGATTGTTGTTGTTTTGTTACTATTATTGTCTTTTCTGAATTTCTCCCACTCATGCTCTGATTATGATGCAAAGCTCTTTCAGGCCAGACACGAAGAGTAAATGCATCATTAGCAACTAGAAAGAATTTGGCAAGGGTTGCTGTAAGCATATATAGCATCTCTGTGAGAATCAGAAATAGACTCCCCCCTCCACCTTTGGGTGGTGCAGTTCCCAGGGAACATGGCTTGGCAAGAGAATAGCATCTTCGTGCAAAGAAACAGTCACCCCTTCCTCTGTGTAGACACTCCTACATGCTAGGTTGCATGGCTTGGTGAGTGGAAAGGATGCTGGATTTCAACTGTCACTGCCCCTTTAGCAGTGGGGGTGGGCAGGCAGGGGTGAGGGGTTGTTCTGTGCAGTGCACAACCCGCACAGCTGTACTCAGTGGCCCTGACTTTGGTGATGAACCATTGAGCAGGTTGAACTCTGGAAGCCTGACTCCTCATTTTTCTGTCAAAATTCATCTAACCCTTTAAGACCATTTATCACTTTCCCCCTTTCTGAGCATTTTCCCTTCATCCTGAAGGCAGCAGCCTGTGCTGTCTCTTTTAGTTAACTACCCATTAGCGATCCAGGTTCTGCTGGCTTTTCAGATGCTCACCGCGTACTGTTCCAACTGCAAGGAAGAGAATCCTTCCTTTTTACTCATCCTGAGGAGCGAAGCAGCAGAGGGCAGCTAACCCTTTACAATGAATGCAGCATGTCAGTTGACCACAGTTGGCTGTTCCTGGAAAATCAGAGGCTGAGTTCTCTGAAATGCCCAGGAAGAAGGGATGAAAAGCACAGGTAGCTTCACCTAGATGGACCACCACTATTTGCTGTTCTCCTGGCAACAGCAAATCTGGAAAGAAATTATTTGAACACGATCCAGCCAGCCTCCAGAAAGCCAGGGATTCAATGCAGTAGCTTCGTGTTGCTGAGCCTGGAAGCCTTCCTATTCTTAATAGATTATCCTTCTCGTGCAACAGATGGATAGTTAGAGCCAATAGGTGTGTGCAATGTTGTTGAGCTGTGACCATGTTGCCCCTTTCACTTCATCCTTGGTATCTTCCGGGGCACCTGAAATGACAGTGACTTTTCTACACGATGTGAGGCAGGATTAACTGGTCTCCATGATGCCAGCGGTGTGGTTTAGGGGAGCTGGGTCTCAGTTTAAAGCATGCTCAGATCTCTTTTTCCTAGAAAGCACCTCTGCTTGACACTGCTGTTCTTACCTCTTCCCTCTTCTTCTTTACCCAGAAAATAGCCTGCCGCCTTAGCTGCCATTTCCTCCCTGTCTCCTTGCTCATCTACTTCCTCCTTCCTCCAAGTTAGGGATTTCTCCATCTGTCCCTCTCTCCCCACAGATCCATTCTCTGCCCTTCTCTGCCCCTCCTGGGCTCCCTTGCCCTCAGGTTTCTGGTAGGTTCACCCAATGGGAGGCACAGCAGGAGACTGGAAGATGCAAGGGCTGTGAGATGAGATGTTGGCTACGTCTCACCCTCCATCGCAGCCTCAGCCTCACCCAGCTCCTGGTGGAAGGGGTTCCTCTATGTCTCCAGTGTCATTACTCCCTCTCTTGCCCCTTCAGGGAGAGGGATGGAAACAGCTTCCTGTGACCGTCAGTCACCGGGTGCCTCATCATCTCCAGGTGTTTCTCGCTGCCTTAATCCTGTCCACACCTTATCTAGTCTGTTCATTAAATTCTTTTGAGTGTCCATCTATTTCCTGCTGGGATGCTAACTGATGCAGCCTTCATCCTCACTTCTCTTCTAGAAGAATCTCCTGGATGGTCACCAGGGACACTCAGGAAAACTCCTAGGCTTTCTTCTCCTTAGCCACTTGCGCCCAGGTTACTTCCTCCTCTTTACCTTCCTCTCTCCTTTAGTCTCCTAGATATAATTCCATCCTCCTTTCTTTCTATCTTTCTACTCATTCTCTGACAAGAACTACCACAGTTGTTTCTTAAGTGGTCCGCTTATTTCCCCTTCATCCTGCCCCATCTGGAATATCACCCACAAAAAAATAATCTTCTTCAAACACCTAGAACCAATTTATGGAGCAGTCTCACTCAGGAGAGGGAGCTTCTGGATACCCTCCATTTGTCCCTCTTGATTAATCCTCCATCCTTCTCCATCACTCTGAGCCCTGGGAGATGGACCTCCATGGAAGTATCGAAGGGCTCCTTTGCCCCTAGCTTCCTGTTGGGTTCAGCCACTTAGGAAGTACTGGTAGGAAACCAGAGGCAGGAGGAAGATGAGGTTGGGGTATTTATCTCCTAGGCTGCCTCCCAGAAGGGCAGAGGATCGGCAGTGGCTGTGTTTCCCTTGCAGAGACCACAGCCCCTGTCAGGTGGTCAGGCGGCCCTCCCTACCACTACAGCTACTTGCTCCCTTTCAGAGCTCGGATTGATAGCAGCTCTCTACTGCTGCTGGCCTTACCCTGCCCACCACTTTGAAAACTGCCCTGTCCTATTAAACTCTCCTAAAGGACCTGCATTTGAGGGTGCCATCTGCTTCCTGCTGGGACCCTGACTGGTCCCGGGGCCCCGATCACTGCTTTCTGTGAAGTTCTGTAGCCTCTCCCTTTCCTATCACTTCGGGAGCTCTCATTGCATCCTGGTCATTCCAATTTATTACAACTTAGTCCAGTCAAGTTAGAATTTTAATCTCACCTCTGATTTAATTCTCATCTCTTCTCCTCCCCTCAAGGACAGGGACCTGGGGAGGAAGGCATGGTGCACTCTTTCACTTCCTGATCCCCGAGCCCGGCAGCTCCTGTGTGTTGGAGGGAGGAAGAGGAAAAGGGAAAGGGACAAATCTCTCTTTTCATAACTAGCTTCTGAGAGAGTTTTGTCTTCTTGTCTGCTAGTGTCTCTGGCCAACACTAAGGGGCCACCGAGGCTGTCTGTGGGGCAAGAGTCCAAATGCTGAGCTTCCAGGATGGGCTAGGTTATGATATGATAACAAACCACCCCCAAATTTAAATAACTTCGATCAGTAAAGGCTTCCTTTTCTTTCGTGCTACATGTCCACGGCACATCAGCAGCTCTGTTCACCAGATCACTCAGGGACTCAGGCTGATGACACAACCCCTAACTCCAACATTGTCAGACTCTACCGGACGACAGGAGCTTGCAGAAGATCTTGCGTCAGGACTGAAATGGTGCAGCCAGCAGTGACTTATACTTGCATTTCATTGGCTAGAACTAGTCACGTGACCCCACCCAACTGGAAATGGGCCAGGAAGTACCATCTTAGCATGTGCGCGGAGCCGGTACTCTGAAATATTTGGGAACAGTACTGATGACTGGGGTGATCAGATGATTTGGAAACTGTGATGACCACATGCATGAGTCCCTCAGAAGATTCAGCATGGTCTAGTTCTCTGGCAAGGGAGATCAGACCCCACTCTGAAGACCACTGTCCCACCGGCCTCACATACTGGAAGTGTACACTCTATGACTTCTTGCTTCTGAATCTTGGCTCCTCGCAGGCAGCCCCTGGGAGGATGACTGACAAGACAGCTGAAGCCCAGCTGCTATTTCTTCAAGAAAATTGTTGTAGTCAAATACACTTAATGTGAAATTTACGAATTCAATCATTTTGAAGTATATAATTTGGTGGTATTTATTATATTCACAGTGTTGTACCATCACTACTATCTGGTTCCAGAACATTTTTATCACCCCAAAAGGAAGCCGCATATCCATCAAGTAGTTACTCCCTATTTCCCTCCTCCTTCCAGCCGCTGACAACCACAAATCTGCTTTCTGACTATGAATTTGCCTATTCTGGGTATTTCATATAAATGGAACCACACAATATGCGGCCTTCTGTGTCTTTAAGCACAGCTACTTTTCGAGGTGTCCTCATGACCCATGAGCAGCTCACAGAATGTTGTGTACCAAATGGTGGCAGTGCAGGTGCCCCACAGATGCCTGCTTTCGCCACCTGCTGTCACTCTGATTTCCTTTTTCTGGTTCAGAGGGAGAGTAGCACCCTGCCGCCTAAGCAGGGAATGGACTGCCCGCCTCTCCTTCTTTCAAGGCCTCAGTCTCTGTGGGTGACTCTCTGTGGGAATCCCTCCCTCACACCGGTGGGGGGTGGGGGGTGGGAAGGGGAAGAAGGCTCGTCCCTGTGCACGGAGGAGGAGAAGCCACTGTACACCCCCAATCTCTCCCGATTCCCACCCGCCCCAGCAGAAGTCCTTCCAGTGCTTGAGGTCAGAGTGATGATAGTGGAACCACAAGGGCTTCCAAGACATGGGGAAGTGTGGCATTTGGCCCCATTCCCCCCACCCCCACCGTGTTCTTTACAATCTGTGTTATTTAGCTGCTGTGTTTTCAGCTTTGGGCCTGAGGGCCAAATCTGCAGCAACAAGAAAGGTCCTATTTGATATCTTACACACCTTTTTGATTAATGTTCCTCCCTCACTCAACAACTTCCCACGTCTCTCTGTTATGAACGGATAAATTCCAAACTCTTGACTTGGCATTCAAGGCCCTCTACCAATGGGTCCAACTTGGCTTTCGAGCTTTCTCTCTTAGCGTCCCCAGCACGAAGTCTGTGTTCCTTTCAGGTTGGCCTGCTCACTCGCTGCCCCCACAATGGTCTTGTTCCGTTTGGGTTGGAGTCCTTCACTCTTCCCTTCCCACCTGGGGTGTGTTTTCTCTGCTTTCTCTTCTCTGGCCTGTGCAGCTCTTTCCCATCATCTCCTCTCAGCTTTCCTGGGCACCCAGCCTCGTCTCTCTCTGTGCTCCTCAGCCTGGGCTGTGCCCTCAGGCACCTCTCCTGCTGCCTTGTGTGGCTAGTGACCCCCTCACAGGTGTCCGTCTGTGCCAGGGCAGCCTGAGTTGCTGAATGAACACTGCAGCCTGCATGGAGGCTGACCAGCCCGTCCCCTCACCCCTGTGACCTCAGGAAGGGAAACTGGCAGAGCTACGCTGAAGGGGATTAGCCAAGGCCACAGAACCCAAATCTTCTCCTGATTGGTGAGTGGGGTGTTAGGAATGTGTGAAGGAGGTGACTCTGCCTAGCTCAGCCATCTTCCAGGGACACCTCCATGGTCACATTGGGATTGAGGCTCATAAATTTTCTGCTTGGGGTTCTTTCGCGTAGACCCAAAAGTACATTCTGTTGTGATCAGGTTTAGGTAGAGGGGTGAGAAAAAGGGAGAGGAGGGAGGGAGCAAGAAAGGCAGATTGGGGAGGATAGATGAGACAGAAACAGAGAGAAAAAAGGCAAGTCAATGTGGGGGAGAAGGGGAGGGGGAGGGGAATTAGATTTAGAGACCCCCAAACCTTAAGTGAGAAGAACAGGATTGCTCTCATCTTCCGAAGGGAGGAAACCCTGCTGAGTGGCTCTCACTATTCCATCCTTTCTCTGCTCCCGCACCAGGACCTACCATCTGCCTGAGAGTTATCCTCAAGCTGCCTGCCTTCATGGGTCAGAAGCAGCCCCAGCCCAGAGTGTGTTCCTCCCTAGCAGTCTCCTCTCTGCTGTGCTGGCTTTGTTTTTGTCTTTCTAGTTGAGTCTCTTTCAGTGGGAGGGGCTGACTCGTGCCTTGGAGGAATTATTCGGAGCGCTGGAGAAATGCCCGGAAGGACAGAGCTATGGCCACATCCCCAGGGCAGCCTGACCTTTCTCAGGATGGCCTAGAGCCACCCTGAGACCAGAAGTTTCCCTCAGCCATGCAGGCACCTGGAAGTGGGCATGCCCAGTGCCTGCTGCCCCAGACCCTGCAGGGGCTGCGTGTATTCCTTTTCCTTTTAGGGCCCCCTGAATCAGGCCAGGCTGGGAGCATCCTGTTTCTAGGCACTCTGACTTTTACAAATCCCTTGCCCCACTAAAAGTGAAGGCAGAGGCTGCAGGCACCAGATATTGTCATGAAAGTCCGTGACCCTCAGGCTGTGGTAGGGCCTGCCACTTGGCTGGCATTCAGGTAAGGGTGGCCCGCTGTCCTTTTCGCTTCTCTCTGTATTATCTCTGCCCTCATTCCCATTCAGGAAGACTTCTCTCCGGGGCTACTGAAGCAGCTCTCCAAGAAGCTCCTTGCCTCAAATGTCCCCTCCAGTGCATTCTATGTGTGGCTGCTGGATCCATTTTGCTCAAGGCCATCTCTTATCTTGTCATTTCTCCACTCAAAAACCATCAGTGGCTCCCATTGCCCAGGGAATAAATAGTTAATTTCTGCAGAGTTTCTGTGCTTACTCCAGGGAGTAGAACCCCATAAGCTCTGCCACCCTTCCCTGGGGGCAGACCTGAGAGCTGGGGAGAAGAGAGGGACAGTATGCTGGGGACCCTATGACCTGCCCATGTCCCATTCCCGGCTCCGGGGGGGGGGTGGGGTGCCGCTTGGAGTGTTGGTCCTGGGATGATCCTACTTTTTAGCCAAGTATCCTTTATTCTTGGGGTTCCCACTTTTCACAGGCTTTCCATTAAGCCCTCTAACAGTATTTACTTCTATGATCTAGAAAAGGGAGGTTCTAGATGACTCTCCAAGTTTGCAGATAACAATAAGCTGGTGATGCTGGTTCTAGGCACGTATGCTATCACATCTCTCCTCCCTCACCCATGGCAGGTGTGACTAATCCACTTTTGCTCAACAAGCCCAGCTGAGGCCTCAAAAAACCCTTTCAACACTGCTCCAGGCGGCCACCACCATTCAATTGAATTTGGCAAGTGAGTTGAAGTCTGTTATTCCTACACCCAGCTCTTCCAGGGAGTGAAGCTGTAAACCCTGGCAAGATTGGCTACAAGAAGCCGTGGACGGGCCACTGAAGTGGATCCACAAGTGGCAGGGGGCTCATGATTGTGGGATAATTCTATTTTGAGATTTAACAAAGTGTTTGTCCTCATTTTCTTGTACCCCTAGCCCTTCCCTGAATTCAGGCTAAAGATACTCTGCTTTTATTCTCTCGGTGAATGAATGACTTGGCAAAAATGCAGAGAGAAAACTGAGACTCTAAACAGACTGTTGAAACTCCGGTAGAGATGGAAATTCGAGGCAAAAAGAAAAGCTTTTGAGGTTCAAAAGCTTAAGTTTTGGAGTTTCAAAAGCACGGCTCCTAAGGGAACTCAGGGCATAGAGGATGTATGATGAGTAGGAAAAAGAATGAAAACAGGCAAAGTTGGGGCGTAGCTATCCTAGAGAGGAAGTCGGAGCGGGGAGGGGAAACTCTGGGGAGAAGTGGGCCTTTGGGAAGGATTCCTGAGCCCTGCATGTCCCTGCGCCAAGGCTGGGTGAGGAACGATGGTGCCCCAGGTCAGATTGGGAAACTGAGACCAGAAGGGATGTGTGCCTCTCTTTCCTGGGGTAAGCCCAAGAAAGTGCCCAGCATGGTGTGGAATATGAAGGCGCTCAGACAAACTCTCTGAGTTTCTTGAAACCCAGGGTAGTGTGAGAACGGCAGACAGGATCCCGTGCTTCTGCGAGTGGCATGGATGAGGCATAGGAAGACGGTGGACATGAGGAGGGACCAGAACAACATGGCAGAGGACAGTGAGGGTGGGGACCCCTCCGGGATACCAGCATGGTAGATGATGACACGGGGGACCCCGTGACCCTTTCCCCTGACGTCTTGGGAGCCTTGAGGATAAGAATCTACAGGGATTCTGAATTTACCAAGATTTAATTTTGCAATTGAGCAAAATGGGAGCTGAAAAGGGAACTTAAGTTTAATCACAGAAAAGGAGAGAAAGTTGTATTTTGGGCACATTGTAGCTGACATTTGTATGCATTATGTGTAGAAAAACTTTCCCCAAACCATAATTATGAGGTGACATTTTCTGCCTCTTGATTGTGGCCTGGGATGTGTATTGGTGGCCTCTTTTAGGGGGCATCCAGCTCACAGCAAGGGTCCCTGGTGTCTGGCATTTTGGATGTGGATCTGGCCACTGCACTTCAAGAAGGACTTACTGTTTCGGAGAAGATTCAGGGATGGGCAGTCCTGAGAGGAGCAGGGAAGTTGGTGGGGACGGTGCTGACACGCAGTACAGCTGTGTGATTATGACGGTGGCCTAGAATGCACATCCCTGATAGGAGATTTAATCAGAGTGGCAAAGCTGAGGGCTGGGCCCCATGGATTGTTCGTGAAGTCCTGGAAAACTGTAGATATACAAATTAGGTCAACTAATAGGATTGGAGAGAGAAAAAGATATTATGGCTCACAGAAGATAATATATCTCTGGGCCTGTTAACCCTGTAACAATATGCAGGTTGGAAATACAAATATTTTAAGAAGGGGTTAGTTTAGGGTTTCTTAACCTTGGCATTATTGGCATTTTGAGTCAGGCACTTCCTTGTTGTGGAGTAGGAGGCTGTCCTGTGGATTGCAGGATGTTGAGCCCCATCCCTGGCCTCTACCCACTAAATGACAGAAGCATCCAGACTCCTGCCCGACCCTGGCTGTGACAACCAGTAATGTGTTCAGATATTACCATGTGTCCCCTGGGGGGCAAAATCACCCCCAACTGAGAACATTGCATTAGTTTAATGTTCCCAAAGGGTGGATCATGGAATAGAGCTCATGCCAAAAAAGTGGAGTCTGTAGTAAGTGAGCATAGAAATACTGAGTTAAAACAAACTAAACAGAGCATTTTATTTGCAGGACTTCTCAGGCCTGCACTAAGCCCGTGGACATGTTAAGTCTCCAGGAGGGAACGTGTGAGATGAGCATGCGCTGAATACACTCTGGGCATTCCTGTGTTAGATATGTTCACAGACAGTAAAACGTGAGGGTACATAATAACAAACATGATATTAGTTCTCTACAGATGAAGTGTCTGCCAAATAGGTTGTGTTTTTTCCTTATCCCTGTTCTCCAAAGTAGATATCATTATTCCTTCTCATAGGAGAGAGAACCAGGACTCAGAGAATTAAAATATTTGTCCATGGCCACACAGCCAACAGATGGGGAGACAAAGCAGGTTTAGATTCTCAGTTCCACGTTCTTAACAGGGCTACATGCTGCCTCATGAGCACAGCCCTAAGCTTCTGGAATTGATGTCGTGTCAGAGTCACGGTACATCCTCACTCTCAGGAACGCTGACTCTCATATTTAGAGTTCTCTTGAGAGTCTTTGTCTGCTGGGTCCACATTTACAGGGGCAAATGGAAGACTTGATGGAAACACATTGGCAATCTTCAGCACGATGAAGTTTCTTTTGATTACAATTCTTAAGTAAAACTATTTTTCCTTCCTGAAAATGAAAATTATATAACTGTGTTGTTTTGTTTTTTCCTTGGTTGCCAGGAAGCTCAGATCCAAAATTTCCATCTTGTCTGACAGTTTTGTGCCCTTTCCCTTTGCTTCTATTTTTAATTATTGTATGTACTTTTATACGATTTGTATGCTGCTGCAAACGCTTGGGAGATAAGAGGGAATATGTAAATGCATATAATTAATAAATGGAAACTTTCCAAAATATTCTCCCCTTAAAAAAAACCCCACAATGCTTGAAAGTGGTTCTTCATCTGATTTTATTTCCTAATCATGTTGAAATGCCCAGGTGTGGATGGCAGCCAGGAGAGGTTACACTTGGGTGAAAGATAAGTAGCCATCTATATGAGATGATTTATTATTTCTTTTAATTAATTAAATTAAACTGATATTTGTGTAGTGTTTTAGGTTTACAAAGCCTTTGCATAAACATTATCTTGTTTGATCTTGTCAGCTGGCCTCTCTGAGAGCTCCAGCAGGTATCATTAATTACTATTCTGACTTGACTGCTGATGAATAAACTCAGGCTCATATATTTTAGGTGACTTATTTTTGCTTTCCAATGTTATTGGCCCAGACTAGCTAGTGGAAGAGTTTAGAGGTCAATCTGGGTCTTTTGCCTCCAAATGGGATATTGGACCTGAGCAGGAGTGACAATCTGTGGTGCATGCCACATCCTCTCCCTCCTGTCCCTCCCTGCAACATACTCCAGGATCCCAGAGGTGGCGGTAGCAGCCCTAATTGAGCTAAGCTGTCTTTTCCCGTTGAGCTCAACCATAGCCAGAGTCCTCAACACAGGACCCCAGACATACATCACCAGTGACATGACGCAAGATATCCCAGGACCAGACATTTTTTGGAATTCTGTTAAACTCAAAGATTCCTGAATTGTATGATTGTATACTAGATTTAGAAACCTGAGATCATCAAACGTGATGGATTTTGTCTGTAGCGTCTGTGCGGCAATTTTAAAAGTAGCAATGTATTGGTCTGCTCAGGCTGCCATCAGAAAATACCATAGACTGGGTGGCTTAAAGAGCGGAAATGCATTTCTCACAGCTCTGGAGGCTGGAAGTCCCCGCTCAAGGGTTGGCCACTTCGGTTGCTGGTGAGAGCCCTCTTCCTGGCTTGCACACAGGCCACCTTCTTGCTGTCTTCACGTGGCCTCTCTTCAGTGTATGTGTGTGGAGAGAGAGAGAGAGATCTCCTTTTCTCATAACGCCACAGTCCTATGAGATTAGGGCCTCACCTTTATGACCTCATTTAACCTTAGTTACCTCCACAAAGCCCTATTTCCAAATACAGTCACACTGGAGGTTAGGGCTTGAACACATGAATTTTGTGTGTGCATGTGTGTGTGTGTGTGCGCGTGTGTGTGGACACAATTTAGTCCATAGCAAGCAGATATGTCATTTAGGGGTAATTTTTATTCCCAAGGTTCATTCCAGTTTGGCTGGTGCTGACTTTTAAATCAGCCATTACTAATGGACTAAAAATAGCGTACACAAAACACCTAGAGCAAATATTTTACCTTATAAAAAATCTGGTTGCTTCAGCTATACTGCACTGAACTCCTTTCTTAGCGATATTTGGAATCCTGCACTCACAGTAACTGCAAATCTTGCTCTAGGTCCAAGATTTTAACACGGGCCGACACTGCAGGAGAGTACATATAGATAGCTATTTGGGAAGAGGGAAAAGTGTCTCCTTTTAGCTTTTGAGAATGGCTCAAGCCGAACCCCGTTCTCTGTCCTCATGGACACCATGCTCTCAGGATTTCTGGTGTAAAAAAATCATTACTTTCTCTATAGTCTTGCGTTTTGTCTGGATTGCAGTGTAAATTAAGAGCAATTAAAATCAATGTCCCGCCCATTGCCTGGTATTGCTTATGATAAATTTGCTTCCTTTGCTATGCGGTCATAGATGATGTACAATCTCTCTGTATCATCACTGATGTACTAGAAGATGGTGAAATCACAGCCTAGTATTCTTCATCTAAGGATTGTTCGTTATTTAAGACCATGTGCATGTTCTTTTTGATCTCCTTTCCTTAACTTCATGTGAATATGCTAGAAAAAGGCCAAATGATAAAGCAATCTTTGGACCATTGATCGACAATCATGGATCATCCTTGCTTCCAGTCTCTCTCTCTTTCAAGCCTAAGGGACCCTGAGCCTTGCACGATAAGGCCACAAATGGAACTAAATTATGCTGGGCAAAAATAACTTCTTTTACTGAGAATTTCCCAGGAGTTTTGATATTTTTGACTCTTGCTCTCTAAATATGGAAAAGATTGAGACACCATGAAAAGCAGGGGAGCTGTTCTGCTTTTTTTAGTCCTTCTTTTAAGAAATCGTTCCATCTCTTTAATGCTATGTTCACAATATATCAGAAATCCCCTCCCTGTAGAAAAATCACAGCCCTCTGCCTGGTAACAGTTTCTGGAGATGTTCTCTAAGCTTCCATTTTTATATACAGAATAAAGCTCATGAATTATAATTTATGTTTTCTAGTGGTCTGAATGTTGTCCAATATTGGGAAATGATGGAAATGGACATTTCAGAGCATCTTTCATCTTGAAGGCATCAAACCCCTTTAGACTTCATCTCTTCTTCTCTGTCTCCCATTTAAGACAGGCTCATGGTATTATCCAAATTTAGTGGGTGGTCATGGAACATGGTGGAAAGTATGTGTGTACCAGGGCCTTCTTAGGGAAGACTAGACACGATCAGGAACTTCGGTTAATGGGGTTTAGTTTAAGGCTGTGATTGTGGAAGTCAAGAAGAGGTGGAGCATCCTGAGCAGTTCCATGGTTCAGCTTCACTGAAAATGAATGCGTTATTCAGCCATCTGTAGGACTTTAGAGGTTTAGTAGTTCGACAGCAGCATCTCTCCAAGAGCAGCCTGGTACCTGAAGTACTCCTGACTCTGAATCACACCTTGTACCATTTAATGTGTTTCTCTGTCCTTTGTGGGACACACAAATTGGTAGTTAGTGTTAGAGATTTGGTTACATTCTTCTGTTTTTTTCCTCAGACTTCTGAGTTGGTGTATTTTTGTCTCGTTATCTCTCCTTTACGATTGGGAGCAGCCATTGATATTCATTGTCTGGATACATTCATTCATTTGGGTCACAAACTAGTAGTATTCTGATTTTATCATTCTTTATTTATTTACTGAAACACATCTATGAAGAGAAACTTTCTCATGTCAACTGGTTCATTGCCTTGACATACAGTTCCCTTGGAAAGCAGAATAAATGCTTGATTCTGTCCTTCTATTTATTAGTTTTCAAGATAATGAGTTGGTTCTCTAGCATCCTCCAAAAGTAATTAATGATGATGTTTAAAAAACTTCATATTCACTATGAATATATAGATATAAACCCTTTGGCTGTGTTTTCAATCTACTGCAGTTTTTATCTTCATTGATGGCCAAATCTTCCCATTTTTGAACAACAGGTTGGTTTCTAAGACTTTGTATGATCCTAGTAATCTTTGGCAGCTTCCTTGCTTTCAAGTATGGCAAGATGTTCCATGTTCATCTTGTACATTTTTGGCTTCTGACCTAGCACCAGCCCTCTCTCTAAGTTGACATGGTTCCTTTCAGTGGAAAATGAGATTTAGACACCATTATCCAGGTGCCAGAGGAGCTCTTTGATACTAATTTGGTTATTGTTTCTAAGTGTTTTTTCTTTTTTTTTTTGAGGAAGATTAGCCCTGAGCTAACATCTGCTGCCAATCCTCCTCTTTTTGCTGAGGAAGACTGACCCTGAGCTAACATCCATGCCCATCTTCCTCTACTTTATATGTGGAACGCCTACCACAGCATGGCATGCTGAGCGGTGCCATGTCCGCACCCAGGATCCAAACCTGCGAACCCTGGGCCACTGAAGTGGAACGTGCACACTTAACTGCTGTGCCACTGGGCCAGCCCCTCTAAGAGTTTTTAGGAGAGAGAGCTACAGAATTTTTATTTATTTTTTTTAAAGATAAAATACATCAAGCATTCGAAAGGAAACTTTGAACTTAAATTCAGTTCTACAGCATTTTAATTTAAGTTTATCAGCCTTATGTCTGTATCTGTTCTCTCCCATGTTAAAAATTGTGATTTCCAATGATACATTGTAACTATTAAATTGCTTTATTCCACATACACACACACCAGTCTCAAAATAACAGTACCAACAACCACAACCAATAATATAATTACTAAAAATAGTTAAAAAAATTCTTTTGGCAGTTCTATATCATAAAGTGATTTGAAATAGTTCATCTTTGTGTGGTTTTGCCACCAACTGGACACACAGGTTTGTTTGCTTTATTTTGCTTCTGACTTTTAGGATTGTTTTTGTATTAAATTAACTTTGTTATAATTATGCAAAATATTAAATACTTCCAAAGTTAAATCTACAAAAGTAAGTATATTCAAAGAAGTCCAGCCCTTTCCCTGTTCCTTCTACCTATTTCTTCGTCTATCTAGAGGTAACTTTAATAAAAAAAAGTGTAATGTATTATTCTATTTAAAAAATATAAACAAGTATGCATATATCTACCTGTATTTCCCTGCTTCTTAGATAAATGATCTTGTACCATACATACCTTTTTCCCTCCTTGCTTTTTTTGTACTTAACAATCTGTCTTGAAGATCACTCCTGAGTAGCATATAGAGATGTTCTGCATTCCTCAAAGGGCGTATTTTTAGCTGTGTTCATGCACTAACCAGATCTTAACAGCCTTCAGGATCACACAGGGAAAAATAAGACCCTTTTAGAAGAACTTCTCATACACTGTTGGTGGAAATATCTATTGTTGAAACCACTTTGAAAGGCAATTTGCCAAATCTAGAAAAGATAAAAGTGTGTTTGCCACAGCCCAGCAATTCTCTTTCTAGAGAAACTCTTAATCTTGAAGGCGTACAATATCACTCATAATAGTGGGAATTAGGGGCCTGCCAGGTGGCGCAGCAGTTAAGTGCACACGTTCCAGTTTGGTGGCCCGGGGTTCACTGGTTCAGATCCCAGGTGTGGCCATGGCACCACTTGGCAAGCCATGTGGTGGTACATGTCCCACATAGAAGGTAGAGGAAGGTGGGCACGGATGTTAGCTCAGGGCCAGTCTTCCTCAGCAAAAAGAGGAAGATTGGCAGCAGATGTTAGCTCAGGGCTAATCTTCCTCAGAAAAAAAAAAGTGGGAATTAAAAAAACCCTAAGTGTTCATCAAAAAAAGAACAGCTAAATTAAATTGTGCTATATTTAAGTGATAGAATACTATACAGTAATGAAAAGGAATGAATTAGATCAATATATAACAACATTGATATCAAAAACATAATATTAAATAAAAACCAGATTGCAGAATGAATACAGTAACATCATTTATGCAAACTTAAAATCTATAAAACGGTACTGTACCTTATGTATAACTACATAAATAGAGAGTAACAGTATTAAAACATGAACAAAAGTCTTTTTTCTATGCGCTTTCTGTGGCAGGAACAGAGCTGTGATTTGTAAATTGAAGTGTTTTTATAGTGTCTTTTTCTGCTTAGTGTTCTGCCTTACCTTTCAACTTTCCCCTAGGATTTACGATTGATTGATTGATTGATATTTCCACTTTAACTCATTCTTGCCAAAGGATACCAAGAAAAAAGTATTGACCATGCTGAGTAACAATGCACCCAGGGGGACCAGGGAGGGGGCAGCGTGGTAGTTGGAGTAAGAGAGAACCCCAAGGCCATAATTATTTGGTGATCTCTGCAATTTTTCCAGATGGAAGAATACTCTTGTGTAAACATGTCGGATCTGTCAAAAGTACACGAAACCAGCTCCTTGCAAGTGTGAAATATCAGTTACAGTGCCACATGTTCTGTGACAGTGCAAAGTGCAAATTTTCATCATCGTAGAAGAGAAAAACAAAGAAAGACTGAGCCCTAGGCAGCGCTAGGCAGGAGCCACAGGCTTTCGGCTTGGGAGAAACAGTCTTCCGCCACCTGAAGTGAGCTATTGGGTCACAGGACTTTGCATTAAAAAAAATCCAGATTTCTTGATTCTCTTGAAAGATCAGAAGATTTGGCACCACTGGGCTCACTGTACAGCAATGGTAGGTAGCGGTTACCTGGTGGAGCTGCTCCCTTTAGGTGGAGTGTGTGCTCTCCTGCCAACCACGGTCTGCACCTAACAGGGCCTCTGTGTTACCTGCCTGATTATCAGATTGGTAATGCCTAGTTTAGGGCCAGACAATGGTATTTGTATTTCTCTCCCTGACACCCTTTCTTCCCTCCAAACATTTCAGTCCTGTGTTTCCAAATATATTCAAATTGGAACTTGGAGGACTTGCAAGTCAAGGCTGCTAGGGGCCCAGCATCCTTCCTCAGGTCTTTGTTTTATGTAGGGGTTAGGCAGGGTGTTTCAATTAAAATTACAGTCAGAAAGTCCTTAAAACCCTGCTGCCTCAGTGGCAGGAATATGGCCTTAGTACTCATTCTTGGTCCTACATGGCCGGGAAAGATGGCTAAGTAGGAATAGTAGAGTGCATGAGGCAGTCAAAAACGATTTTCACAATTCTGAATGCAGACCACACTCTATTATGTGTAACACTCACAGCAACAATTCCCAAAGAACTAAGTCTAATTAAGAATTCCTGCTCATTATCTAGTGAGAAAGTAGATTGGAATGAGTCCCAGACCCCATCCATGCCTTTGGCGTGGGGGTGGGAGGGGGAAGGCTCTCCCAGCCAGGATGAGGAGAAAGAGAGACCCTACAGCAGGTTCAAATAGGTCACTCAGTCAAAAGGACTCCTTTCTACATGGCAACCTCTCAGAAGGCTTCCTGTTCAACACGGTAGGTGGAGCGGATTCAGACGAGTCAGTGCGCATTGAAAGGCTCAGCTATACTAGACGTTGGTGGACTAAGCAGAACACCTATAACCACAGATGGAATTTCCCCATAAAGAGAGCACGTGCATGATGTGAATCCAGGGATGTCGAGAAAGGATGAGACAACAATATCCACCACCACCAAAAGTTTTCAGAATTTACTTTCCATCTCTACTTCCTCACCTGCTCGGTAGCCCACCACGAGAGAGCCATTCTTTCATATTCAGGCACTATCCCTAGGCGTTATCTCCTTTTACATAAACATCTTTGGGAGAAGCTTTAAAAAAGCTTTTTAAAAAAATGTTTACAGTCTGTGCCAGGCTCTGTCTTACGCGTGAATTCGTGCCCAAGGTCATGTAGCTGGTAAGTGGTCACCAGGATTGGAGCTCCTCTAACTCCAAGTTCATTGCTCCCTACGGTGATTTTCAATGTATGATTCTGGGACAACTGGGGGTCCTGGAGACCCTTGCAATGAATCCGAAAATTCAGATCTATTTTCATAGTGATACTAGCACAGCATTTGCCTCTTTTACTCTCATTCTCTCATGAATGCGTGGTGGAGTTTTCCAGAGGCCACATGACATGGGATTTCACAACGAATCAAATGCAGAAGCAGGTTTAAGAATCATCCAGCTGTCTCCTATTAAGCCAGACACTAAAGAGGTTTGCAAACATAAAACAATGCCATTCTTCTAATGTTTTTGCTTGTTTGTTTGCTTTGGAGGTCTTTGAAGTCTTCAGTAATTTTGAAGAGTGGAAAGCATCCCGAGATCAAACTATTTGAGAATCACTCTTCTGCGGCACAGCTAGCCTGGTGCCCAGCCCTCTTTATCTGAGCGTGAGCTGAATTCCTTTTTCTCTGAGATAGCTAGTTAAGAGAGGCACTGGGTGTGGAGTGGGGTGGGGAGAAAGGGAGTCTCTGCCCATGGAGGATGCAGCCTTAGATAATAGATAATAATACATATAGCAGTAATTAAAGATAAAATTGCAGAGTTTGTAAATATTTGCTTAATAAAAAATTAAGGTAGATTTTGCATTATCTCCTATCATAAGGCCACTCTACTCATTTGAGTTCTGATGTGCTTTCTTGAGTGGGACTACTGCTAGCACAGAATGGCTTAGCCCAGGGAGTATGTCATCACAGCAGATCAGAGAGGCAAAGAGCCTTGACAGTAGATAGCTCAGTAAGGTTCTTTTCAGCTCAAAATCTCTAGAGGTCTAACACAGTGTTTGGTGCCTATCCTGTTGACACGTGTCCTCTCCTAAGAGGGGAGACCTACTTGGAAGGAGGATCAAGAGTTATCAGACTTTCCAGCCACACAGACCTGGGATTATTTCTCAACTCTGTCACCTGATATTTGTATGTCCTTGAGCAAGAGATATAATCTCTCTGTAAAAGGGGCTAATAATGCCCACTTTATAGGGCTGCTGTAGCTGTTCAGAGAGAAAACATATATCAAACTGGCTGGCTTATAGCCAGCACGCAATAAATATCGGCCTTCTGCTATTTTCTAAAAGTGGGCAAGTAGAGAACTGAAAGACACAACATGAAATCCTTGTCTTTTTAGGGTGCCTCTTGGTGACAGGGAGGGCTGCCTCAGGGGAGTGAGGTGCCAGCATTTAGATGCTGAATAGGAGGGGAAGCGATTTGGTAATTCTCTATCCTGAAGCTGAGCCTGACTGGAGACGCCATGTTGGTGGCCTTTTCCTTCCTGGTGGGTACATGGAATGTCTCCTCATTCATACCTGCTCCCCAGGGTCCCACTTCCTGGGAGACATAATGGATGAACCACAGCCAGCAAAGACTTCACTCCCCATTTATCATCTTCTGGCTTGCTTAGTGAGGCCATTTGTTTTCCAACAGGTGAGCTAGATGAGATGGATTACATGTCGTCAAAATAGTAAGTAATGGGATGTTGTGGCCATTCTTTTGTGATGTGGAAGTGGGAAACATTTAAGCATTTCAACTTAGCTTAACAGCAAGCTCAGGAAATGGATATTTATGATTCCCAATCCTCCCTCTCGTGTTTTACTTATTGACTTTAAAATGACCACAAAAAGTGCCTTATTTAGGTTTTTAAAACTATTTTCTAGGCACAAAAATATTTGGAAAAGATAAAGTAGACCCTGACTAGAATTAAACATTATTTTCCAATAGTTTCTACACGCAAATATGGTAGGCATAGATCTGAGAAGACGTCAGGATTCATTGGTTAGTTTGTTTCATCAAATGAGTTTCAGTGAAGAGCTACTCTCTGGCAGCCCAGAGCTGCAAGAGCTACGGAACTCCAAACGCATGATTTGCATACACTCTGAGAGGCGGGGGAGTGGAAAAAGCATAGGCCTCTGAGTCTGAGAGGTCTGGGTTTGAATTTGGGCTACATCACTTACTAGGTGTGTGATCTTGGAAATAGCTTTTAACTATACTGAGCCTCAATTTTCTTATCCAAAGGTTGGAGGTAATGAAATCTACCTTGCAGAACTGTCTTGAAGATTAGACATAATGTATATAAAGTGTCTTATAATAACAGATGCCTAAGGAGTGGTAGCCAGATGAGGATAGCGATATCTGTAGTCCGTGCGGACAAGTTCAGTACACCGAGTTTAACCAGAACTATTTGCCCTTTAGAGTTGCCTTGAAGTACTCCTTTATGTACCATATGCTTTTCAGTTCTGTCCTCTAGTCTGGCTAAAAATTACAAGGTTTGGGGAAAGGTTAACTAATTGATTGACTGGCTTAACGTATAGTCACAAGCTGCATAAATAACCTTATGAAGAAAGTACATTCATCGGTATAAAAGCATGTGAATATAAGTACATTATGTAAATATAAGATCAATCGCAGGTACTTTATGGATAGAGAGCATATAGGAGGCTCCATCAGAGATTAAATCTGTTTTTCTCTGTCTAGCGGTGCCAACTAACTTTGGAATCATTGAAAGCAACACTCCCAGAAGAAGGGATGTAAATACTTTAGGATCACTTGGGGAGACACTCTTGGAAGGACACTTTATCTTTGAGTCATGAGCGTGACTTCCTTTAGAAGAGTATGTGGGAAAAGCAAGCATCATCAGACCCACTCTTCAGAGTCATAAAGGAATAACCACCTGCTCCCTAATGTGGGTCTTGGGAAAGGAATGGAGTTAATTCTCTCCTGGGTTCCATGAGGTGAAAGATCCTGGAATGAATTGTGAGGTAGCACTCCTGGGGCAGGCTGATGTACTGAGATGAGTCTGTGTATGTGAACCAGAGAATGAACTGGGATCTTAAGGAGAGGGCACCCATCGCTGTGCTTAGCACTGCTGGACAGGTATTGGCCTCCCCAGCAGATGCAGCAGCTGTCAGGAATCCACATCAAAGCAGTATGATCTCAAGGTGGGCCAAAATGATTTGGACTGTGGAGGGCCGGTCTTCAACAGTGACACTGTGTGACAAGAACTCATGGCAGTGGCAGACAGATCAAACCTAATTCTCACTTCACTTGAAGGCGAAAGTAAGACTGATCCTTTGGATTGAGTAATTCTGGAAGGGATGGAGGATGCATTTTGCAATTCCCAATGTAATAATTGATTCAGTCAAGGGCTGTATCAATGGATACGAAAACCATTAGGTGTAATGTTGTTGAGGGAACAGCACATTCGCCTGCTACCTACGTATCACCCCACAGGTTGCTTACGAATTGTAAGTGTATCTTTACACCGGAGAGATCTGGTGATCAAAGTGAGCCCCACTATTCCTGGTGGAAATACCTAGCATTCTGTGGCTCCTCATATGATGCAAAAGTATGTAAGATACTTGTAAAGTGTTCTTGCCAAATGTGTTTAACCTGCATCTGATCAAGCCTTTAGACCGAACTTCCGGAGGGGACAAAGGAGCATGAGCAGGACAAGAGGAAATAATCATACAAATTCAGACTGTTTGCATACACAGACTGCATTGCCTTCATGGCGGATGGGTTGACTTAATTCAAGATCTTCCTGTCTCGACTTCAGTGCATTTGTTCAGCAGCTGTGGAGGAGGACTGGTGAGCGCCTGCTGCTTACATCACGCCTCATCCAGCTGTCAGCCTGATTTCTTCTGCAGACAGATGTTTCAAAATGACTGTGGGAGCTTTATGCTTTGCCAGCCTGCGTGGAGTCTCAGAGCTTTAGGGCTGGAGAGACATTTGGTTCCTAACCTGGGGTTCAGAGAGTCTTCCTTTAGTGACTGAGGATGGGTTTCAGGGATTCCATGAACCCCTTTAAACGGTCTCCCAAATCCAAGCTTTTTTTCCCCTAGAAAGTGTACCTGGCTTCCAGTAGATGCTAAATGATTATAACTAAAGAAATTGAAGAGCCACTCATCTGTCCAAACTCTAAACCCCACATAACAGATAGAGAAACTGAGAGAACAAATTAGAGAAAAAAGCAGCTATTGAAATTTTTGGAATGTCTGTATACTTTACAGAACTGACCTGGTTTTCTGCTGCCGCAGACTGAGCTAATGGCCCAATAAAACTGCTTGAATGAAATAGAGCCACTAGGGAGCTTTTGCTGTCAGCCTCAAAGACCCGAATAGCAGAGACAAGTCTGGTTGAAATCCCTAAGAAGGCAGCATAATTTAGGAGCAGCCCCAGCAGTCTCGAGAAGCCAGTGACATGGGCGAGACCAGTAGGTTCTTTTGTGTGGATTACATTTGAACCCTGGGAAAAAAATACCATTGAGGAATACCTATGTCAACAAATTCCATCCCTCCACCCACTTCTTTTGCCACCTGGCCCCTCCAACCCTGCTTAAAAAAATGTGAGTCCCTTTGGCAGAGCTGACACAAAAAGAGGGCTCAGTTTTCTTTCTGAAACAGAGAAAGCACTCTATCTGATGAAGCATTGCTGTGCTTACCAAATAAGTAAGACAAGACGAAAAGATCCTTTAAATTAAACATTGAGAATGATAGGGATGTGTGGGGAGGTTGTAGAATAATTGTAACTAAGAACAATGCCATTTCAGTAATTTTTGAAAGGCTTCCAGCATCTGGGTGCTGGATGCAATGGTCTGGTGGGTCCTGAGGCTGCCTCTGCTCCCAGTTGTGAGTGGCTCTGGGTTGTGTGGGATGCTGTCGTCTGCCTCCAATATCCCTTCTGCCACCTTCTCTTGCTGTCAGCTCTTCATAAGCGTCCAGTGACCCAGGGGCCTACAATGGAGCTCCCTATAAGTAGCATCTTTCCATGACCGCACTGACTTTCTTGCCAAGTTCTAAATATCTCTTAGGGGACATCTGTTGGATATTATATGCTTCTATTAGATTGGGAGCTGACTAAGGGCATATTCGGGTACATCACAATTGGGAAAAATACCTTGGTGGGTGAAGCATCTATGCTCATGGTCTCTAAAACACTTTTTGGCCCAGATCCAACAGGTGTAAAAGGTCCCATCTATCTTCTACCTCAACCTTATTTGTACTTGCCACTGCTTGGGCAAAGAACCATCATTCATTTGTTCATTCATTCAATTTGTCACTCATTTGTTTTGTAATTCATTTGTGTGTTCATTCATGTATTCAATAAACGTTGATTGGATTGCAATTGCAATATACGATCGCATCCCACCAGAATATTTCTAGGTTCCACAGTTGAGAATCAACATCTTCAACTTTCCTGTTTCCATTAACTTGTTCCTATGCTCTGTTTTGTGTGCCCTAATTGATTCTTCCTGCTATAGTTAGCCCATTCCATGGCCCTTTTAACCCACTGGCAAGTCCCATCTACTTCCCATTTTGACTTCCGCTATCATATCCCCTTTGGTGTCATTTTCAGCTCTCACCTAGATCAAATTTTCTGGGCTCAACTCTTTCCACTTGTGACACGTTGGCATACGCTCTAGTTGCTATGAATTACTTACCTGTTTTCCAGTGCTCTGTTGTATCTTCATGCTGTTGTGACTTTTCTTGGTCATGCTATACTTTTTGCCTAGAATCCTTCCCCTCCTCCCTCTTTTGTGCCTTTGAAATTCTACTCATCCTTCAAGGTTGAGATATTTGAGCTCAAATGTCATCTCTTCTGAGAAGCCCTCCCAAACTTTTCTTCAACCCTGTGCTCCAGTTATTGCAAATTTGAACACATATTTAAAAATCACAGTCTGAGGGCTGGCCTAGTTGCGTAGTGGTTAAGTTTGCACACTCTGCTTTGGTGGCCTGGGGTTCACAGGTTTGGATCCCAGGTTCAGTCCTAGCATGGCTTGTCAAGCCACACTGTGGCAGCATCCCATATAAAATAGAGGAAGATTGGCAACAGATGTTAACTCAGTGACAATCTTCCTCGCAAAAAATAAAAAACAAATAAAAAGCACACTCTGTACTCTAGCGCTGTTTGTTCTATAATTTATTTATGGTGCTTTGAAAACTCTGATTTATATAGTGACATATCTATTTCTACTAGACTAGGAGCTCGCTGAGGTCAGGAACTGTCTATTCATATATTTCCTCCTTCATTCCATGTGAAGGTGCCAAGCTAGGCACCAGGAACTGTGCCAAGGTGCTCATGTGTAGCTGGGAAGACAAACAAGTAAACTTACCAGTGTCACGTAGGGTGACAATTGCTGTGATAGAGGAAACATGCAAGGCTTGAGGCATGGTCCAGAAAGGAGAGTTTATTGTGGTGAGTTAGAGAATGCTTCACAGAGGCAGAGATGGTCGAGTTGTGACTTGAAGGAGATATTGCCTTATTTCATTAATTCTAAGCACACTTTTTTTTTTTTGTATTCTGAAGCCAGGATGTGTCTTTTGATGAATGTGGCATGTTTCTCTCCCACCCCAAATCTGGTATTAATTTGGCAGTGTGTCTTACAGTCAATGGCATCTTAGTATTAAGAAGGTATGGTACTTAGATTCTTGTGGTTGCACATAAAAGATATCAACTTGATTTAAAAAAAAGGTGTGTGTGGGAGGTGTATTAGTTCCCTATTGCTGCTGTAATAAATCACCCCAAACCCAGTGGCTTAAAACAACACAAATTTATTCTCTTATTGTTCTGGAGATCAGAAGTAAAAAGTAAGTTTTGAGGAGCTAAAATCACAATGCCAGCAGGTTTGGTACCTTCTGGAGACTCTAGGGGAGGAATCTATTCCTTGTCTTTTCCAGCTTCTAGAAGCCTCCTGCATTTCTTGGCTTGTGGCCCCCTCCTTCATCTTCAGAGCGTGTCTCTTCAGCCTCTGCTTCTGTTGCCACACAGCATAGTCTCTAATGCTGACCCTCCTGCCTCACTCTTGTAAGGACACTTGGGATTACATCAAGCCTGCCTGGATAATCCAAGAACATCTCCCCATCTCCAGATCCTTGGCTTAATCACATCTGCAAAGTCTCTTTTGCCGTATAAGGTAAACGCATAGCTCTGGGGATTAGCATGTGGACATCTTTGAGAGGCTATTATTTAGCCTACTACAGGGGGAATGTCTTTTAAGGATACTAATATGTTTTTGGATCCCAAAGGTAGGACTGTAGTCATGTCCCAGGAAGAGTCTAGAATTTTTCCATTTCCTATATCTGCTCCTGTCACTATGTCTATATTCCCTTTTTCTTTCTTCCTCAGCAGATTGACTTCCTCTGCAACACGGCCATACATAGGAACATGACTGTCAACAATTCCTGAATCTGTCAATTATGGTTTCACTATCCAGAGATTGCCCCCTCCCCTACTTCTATTCCAAATTCCCAAGGAAGAAGCTCCGATTGGCACTTTTGGGTCAATGTCACCCTTCGCCAAAGATGTAGGCAAAATTGTGACTGTAGGCAAAGGGTACAGCTCTTCCATATTGTACAAAATGCCTGCTAGCAAGGAGGCATCACAAAGGATGCTCAGCATACACTAAAAAATAGTCCTCTATGAAGGATTACTAGTTGTTCACCAGGGAATTAAGTAAGAAGGTGACATTTCAAATAGAATGTGCTTGTACTTGGTCAAGTGTTTTTCAAATAGTGAGTATCCATGAAATAGTTCTTGAATTGGGTTGAGTTGTGAAATTTCTCCAAAGCGTCTTTTCATCCATGGGGTTTTATCACCTTTTGCCTGGAATCCTGCAATTAATTCCACTGCACCTCCCCATCTTCTGCCATGCCATAGTTTTACACGTCACATTTTTGCCCAAAATTCTTCAGTCACTTTCTTCTTATCACAGAATAAAGTGCAAATGTGAACCTGGCGTTTATGTATAAAACGATGAAGCATCTTTTCCCCATCTGGGACCCACGAATAATTACGCTGATTTCATAGATGTGTTGAGATGATTAAGTGAATATAAGGGATTGTTGTACTTTCCCACAAATCTCCAATGTAAGCCCTCTGCCCTGATCAGTTGGTTTCGTACTGTTCCCCAAGCATATCTTCATTATTCTCATGGCTACACCTTTGTTTAACCAGGGACTCCAGCCTTGGAAATGCCTGACTCTCACCTCCCATCTTCTTCAGTCCTGTCTATTCCTTTAGCCCTCTTGGGCCACAGATGTTCATTCTTTCCTTTTAATTCTAAGAACATGTCTAGTCTGTTCTATGTAGAGTCTCAGAGTAGATTATATAATACAATTTCCTATCTAAAGTGGGAAATCCACACATTGCCTTCCTGGCGGCCATTTTGCTTCTACTTGAATACTTGTAGTGTTGATGAGCTAAACTTGGGCTGCTCAGCCTCATTTTTTCAACAGCTCTAATTAAATAACTTCAACATGTAATTATCTTTTTAGTCATGACAGTCCTGCCTTTTTAATAAAATTTTCAGTCCTTCCAGAGGAACAAAGTCACTGTTCAAAAGGCATCGATTGTATTTATGCCTAAAATTACAACGTCACGACATTAGTAGTTAAGCCACTTCGACCGCTTTTCTTTTCTTTTCTTCCAACTTTATCATTCCCTGGGAGAAACGACTTGACTTTACAGGACTTGTGATCATTGTGATGATGCCTAGAACAGGTCTCTGAACAGAAGGGAGGCAAAGAAAACCCTCTTGGTTGACATCTATTGATACTTGAACCAACTTTACTTAGGCCATTTTAGATTATTCTTAAACAACATTTGAATTTTTGAAAAGAAAAATTTCTGTTGCAAAACATTTACTCCTTTCTCTCCCTTTTTGTGGTATTCTTCCAGTCTTTTTATTATTCATATACAAATATATCCATATCTATATTCCTGGTTTAGTTTTTACAAAAATTGAGATTAGACTATATATGCTGCTCTGTATTTGCTTTTAAAAAGTCTTAATAATAAACCAATGACATCTTTCCATGTAATATACAAAGACAATTATTTTCAATGGCTCTACAGTTTGGCACAGTTTATATATTTTTTTCCTATTGATCAACAGATATGCTGTTTCCAATTGAATCTTGAATTCTAATTTCTTTACATTAAAAGATATTAAAAGGATAAATGACCACCAGACTCCTACTCACAAATTCACCCCATGTTAGGGGTTGAATTTTGTCCTCCCAAAATTCCTGTGTTGAAATCCTAGCTCCTTGTACCTCAGAATATGATCTTATTTGGGAACAGGGTCATTGCAGATATAGTTCGTTAAGATGAAGTCATACTAGAGTAGGGTGGCTCCATACTGGTGTCCTTACAAAAACAGGAAATTTGGATACGGAGAGCACACAGGGAGAACATCATGGGAAGATGAAGGCAGAGATTGGAGCGATGCTTCTATAAGCCAAGGAATGTCAAAGATTTCCAGAAAAATCACCAAAAGCCAGAGAGAGGCATGGAACAGATTCTTTCTCACAGCCCTCAGAAGAAACCAACCCTGCCAACACCTTGATCTCAGATTCCAGCCTCCACAACGGTGAGACAATAAAGTTCAGTTGTTTAAGCCCCTCAGTTTGTGGTATTTTGTTAAGGCAGCCCTAGCAAAGTAATACACCAGTCTTAAAAAAAAAATGAGTGCTTTTTTTAATTAAAATATTTTTAAATTTTTCAAATGCTTGAGACAAAGAATATTGAGGCAACAGTTCATGACTTTGAGTGAAGGCCTTGCTAGGGTGACTATGTTATATCTTAGTGTCTATCCTGATGATATATTCTCAGATAATGACTGTGATAAAGCCCAAGGCTTCCAGGAAATGGCTCAAACTATAAGAAAGTAGTGTACTGAATGTTTGGGCAGAGGCCAGTTAATAACCAGAGATGAGGAAGGGTAAGAAAGAAATAATTACTGAGAACTTTCCACTGAGATGGGTATGGTAACCCAGGCCTTTATATGGTAAGCCATTTTCTCACTTTTAAAGAACAGGGTAATGTAAACAAGTAAGTAGTGATAAATTATCTCTAGAGAATTTAGTCTTCTTTTATCTCCATCCATACTTCCTTCAAGGAAGCCCTATGTTGGTTTAAATTGAGATTTTGGCAGCAAATGATGGTTGATCTGATTTTCCAGGAAATTGGAAGGCATGTGGTTGAATACTCTGTGTTACATAAATGTGCATACTGATGAACATGGACAAGCTGCTTGCAGAAAACTATGCCAGTCATTCCATTTTCAAAAAATTGACTAGACAGAGCCAATGGGAACGGTAAAGATAAAGGTGCTAATTGGAGCAAAGCCTCATTCTCAAGACTGGGGCCCATGCTAGAGATGCAACCCATGAAGCTGGGCTGCCTGGAAGTTTTAATCAGGATGAACCACTGTAACATTTGAGTACTTATCAAATTAATGTTCCCTTTACCTGGAGTGTCTTCTCCCTGTCTGACTAGCTAAGCCCTCTCTGTTCTTCAGGGCACATGCCAGAGTAGCCTCTTCCACAGAGACTTCCTTGCCCTGAGCCACAGAGCATTGTGACTCCTCTGAGTCTCTAGACTTAATTTTCATGCTCTATTCCTTAGGCAACTAAATGGCAATTACAAGACTGTATATGATTGCATTTCATTACAGATAGATTTAAAACTCCATGGAGGCAGAGATTTTGCCTACTTTATTTACCTTGGCACACCACTGGGCACACAGTTGGTGCTCGGCAAATATTTTTTTGAATAAAGGATTGCATATTTATTTATTTTGTAATTTCTCTTCCCACTGCTATTTGAAATTAAAATATTTGTAAGGTCAAGGACCATTGCTTATTCTTTTTGGCAGGAGTATAACCAGAGTTACTTAACTGTGGTGGGCTTGAGCCCCTTTCACCCATCTCTCAGCTCTCTCAAAGCCAATCCAATTAAAAATCACAATAATATACTTTAAAATGGATCATGGAAACTATATACCTTAGTGTGAAGACAAGTTCCCTATGTCTCTCTCATCCAGCCAAATTGCTACTCTTAAGCCTTTTGTACTTAGAAATTCTAGAGCTGCCACTGCTGTTTTTACATCCTTTAATGTACGGGTCCAACACTCCAGTGCATATAGGGGCCTTCTAGGTAATGTTAATGAGTGAAGGGAGCCATATGTAAGAGACAAAAGGGAGTGGTGGGGACTGTGGTGTATTGGAGAGCACACACTCCTTCTAAAGGGGCAGCCAAGATGCGATGATTCAGGTGATTATTGTCACGTGGGAAAATAAGTCTTATATTACCAAATCTTCAGATTTTTCAAAAGAAGCCAGAAATATGGAATTAGATGTGAAATCTATCCATTTTTAAATGTTTTAAATTTTTAAAAACACTGTGCTGGCCACCAACACCCCTTCTCTGCTCACTAAATATGACCTCTAGGCCACCAGTTTGCAACCTCTACCCTACAAGTAATTTATGGGGCCCTAGGCACTTATCTCTGTGTACCCCAACAGTCCTTGGCACAAGGATAGTGGAGATCAAATGGCGGCAAATAAATGCACCAGGAAGTCCAAGTCATGTTTTGAACTACTGAGGTGTTTTTTTTTTTTTTTTTATTGCAAAACATTTGTTACAGAAATTTCAGAAAGTTTTTCCCGTGGTATCTGCCAGCTTCTGCTTCGAATTATATATCTAAACAAACAAGCTCGAAGTGCATCATGAATCCAATAATAGACCTTTAAAAAAGAACAATTCCTCTAAGGATTTATATATATTTATAATGTCAATAGATATGCAAACCAGTGTCTATCCATACACAAAGAAGAAAAAGATGTATACATATTTAACGAACCCAATTTCAAAATTGTTGTTATGTATAGGAATTCATTTAAAAATGATATTTGAATAATTTCCCCCATTATAAACTATGGTTAGAATGTTTACAAATGAGAGTCTAAGTTCTATATTATGAAATGGCTGAGTACAGTACACTGCACACACTGTTTTGCACAGCAGGAGCAGCAATATAAACTCAAGTCAGACGCTGTAGTGACAGAAAGCAGATAAGCCTTGATACAATGCTATGGTACTCTTCTTGTGAATCACCCTCACAAAGATCCTGCGTTTGGGTCCAGAATGATGCGGCTAGCAAATACACGTGCATATATCATTCGAGAGAACAGCAATAACCCTGAATAGGGTGAGTTCCTTTCCCCCTCCCTCAGTTTTCAGTGTATTTCTTGTATACAATCACTAAGTCGGAATCAAGAATATGATCCTGATTGGCTCTAAATCAGGTCCCCAACTGTTGCTGTTGGGACTGACTGCTGCTGGCAGACACATCTGTTTGGCTAGGACAGTGTTTGCAAATCTGAATGTGAATGTCTTAGTAGCGGGATGTGCGTTCTCTCATGCCCTACAAACCTTGCCTCTTCCTGTCGTCTTTCACCAGTCCAACTGACACTTTTGTGTTCTGGATCCTGCCCCTCCACAAATTTGAGTTTACAACCCCACAATCTGGATGCACATGGCTGGGTCTGATGTGGGGGACTCTTTTGGGATTCAGACAGGCAAAGAATTGGATGAATCTGATGCAAACACCAGCCAAGTCAGGAGCATGGGGTAGAGTTAAGGGGAGGAGGCTAAGTTAGTGGGAAGATTAGGGCTTTTTCCAAGTAACCACTGTTTCAGCTTACTGGGCCAGGGTCCATGGGGTACTGAGGTATTGGGAGCCAGGGTCTGTTGGCCTGGCAAAAAAGCATCTTGTGCTGGGTAAGAGAAAGGAAGAAAGTCAAGGGGGTGAAGAAGGCCACATGCACATCCAGGCATGAGGCTGAACTTCTCTCTGCGTCCCACGGCTCTCAGTGGCCTGCCTGTTCTAGAGGATGGCCTGGGTCAAGGTTAGCATTGACGCTCTTCAGAAAGCCTATGGTCTTCTGGTCATACATATCCTTTTCACTTTCCAGCACACAAACATTGTGCAAATAGGCAATGGCCTGAAGGGTTAAGGGAGCCAGTAGACTAAGTCAGGGGAGGGAAAATTCACCTCACTCTTATTGCCCTCTGGATTACTTGACCACTGAATCCTCTCTCAGATGCTGTGTAGAAGTTGCTGTGTCTTGATTTCACTAGCAGTGAGCAGTGCAAGGAATTCATCAGAGAAGAGGTAACACCACTACCTTCTCAAATGAATTAAAAAAGAAGAGAAAAAAATCGTGTTTTCCTTAAATCAGAACCACCACTCCTTTGGTTGACTCCAATCTGACAAAGAAGGTTTGACTTGTAAAAAGAAGAGACAGCTTAGGCCATTGCAGGCTGAGAGAAACGTTTTCTCCACTCATTTGAGGAGCAGTCATTTAAAAGACTGTGCAAATTGGCTCCTCTCTTTTCAGATGTTGAATGGCTTCTAATAATGAAATGGTGATTTCTTTAAAGGGCAAACCCTTCAGAGTCACCCAGTGCTCAATCAGACACACAGTCACCCATCTCTTGCCCTCCCCCAGGCCAGACTCACTCGTAAGCCACAAGGTAGGAGGGTGGTCACATGTCATATCATTGGACCACTCATTCATAATAATCTGTGCATTTCTGTACTGTCACAAATGGACTTCTCACTCTCGTCTCTGGTTTAGCAATTTGTATCCATTGGCCCTAAAGAATCAGAAACGTGTGTTTCATATATCACAGATGCACCAACACCTAGACCTTGGTAAACCCAAGTGGTGTTGGCTAGCCATCTCTGGGTCCCATAGCTACATGCCCTGTGGTTAATACTTTATCTCATGTTATTTGTTCAGAGCTTAAAAAGAAGTAAAAAAAAAACCTTGGTTACTTTTTTGTTTTTAATTTTTAAAAAAACTGAACATAATTCCCAAACAGTATAAGAAGTCCATCAAGGTGAGTGAGTTCCTAACTGGTTTAAGTGTCACAGCAGGCAATAGGACAATGTCGAGTGCCTTTAAAAAGTCAAAAGAAACGCATAAAGCAGTGCATGCATTTTGTTGCCACGAAATTAAGACTGGATTCGGAGAAAGATTTCTTCATTTAAGTCACATTGCTATTGTTAAAGAATAGTGAGTTACAATGCAATATCTAGAACAAGTATATAACCACCTACACACTAACATCACTTTATCTAGAAACAAACATATTAGTGTTACTAAATGAACATATTTATAAAATACTGTACACTGCTTCCACATGGGGTCAGCAGATGTAAACAAACAGCTAATTCAAATGGAGTTTAAAATATTATTTTAAGTTCATTTGTCATATAGTCTTTTGCATAACATGCCAGTTCGTCTTTCCCAAATTCACAACTTGCCCACCACAGCTCGCAGGGCTGGTTAGAGGATGGACATCAGCTTATACAAATATTTTACAGTGTTCTGCAGGAGTGTGGAAAACTCCGAGCAGATCAGGAACAAAAGTGCCCATTTCACGAGGATGCTAAATAACATGGAATTGGGAACATAATTAATCCTTGCAACATGTGCTTCTTTATTGAATGTTACAGATTTGTAAGTGATTATAAAGCTGTCCTGTAACGTTCATTAACACAACCACATGCTACAACTACGCTGGGTTAAATACGGTTACATATATGTTTATGTGTGTTTGATAATACAGTGTTGCCCAACACGTTGAATGGTGCAGCCTAGAGAGATAGCGTGATGGATGACTGGATAATATTTATTATCATTAAAGAAGTTAAGCAGCCCAAACATTCAGGAAGATTAGACTGAAGAGCCTCAGAAAGTGGAATCGATGTACTATCCAGTTATCTACCATAATATTATCTATAGAAACCATCTTGTAGACAACATTTGAAACATTCAGAAGAAACACATTTTGTGTTTTTACAAGTACATTTTTCCCATTTGATTATTCTTACATGTATATTTTAAAGGGGGAAATTTCAAAGTGCTAAATAATATCCTAGACCTGGAAGCTTAGACTTAAAAAAAATCCACTTCTGTAAAGTGCTGCATTCTGATGCTAATACACCTTTTGGCTTAGAACAATACACCAACCAGCCATGACAATTATACCCAAGCTTTCCAGCTGCTCATTCAAATTCGTCAAGGAGGGAGTGTCTAACTATAAATATAAACTATGTTGGTTAATCAGGAAATTTCCATGGTCATTTTCATAAAACATCCTTCACTCTTTTTCAAAAGGGCCAGGCAATTTAGAACAAATCATTACATAGAGTAGTATATAAAAATTGGCACCTCAGATGCAGATGATTAAACCAAAGCCATTACTTCCTTGAGCTCGCTATGACTTTATTTACGCTCCTCAATAACTTGCCGCTCATGAGCTGCTTAATTCACAGAGACAGGTAATTAACGTCCCCTCCATCAGGGACATGGTGCAATAAATGAGCTGAACACAAGCTGACTGGACAAGGCCACAGAATCGATGCCACATCGGTGTGCAGAGAATTAGAAATGGAAAGAAATGGATTGAAACATAACACACATGTATGTGCACAGGAAAGAAACGGCTCATGAAAGTTACACAGTTTGTGTTTAAAGTCATTTAAATTTGGCTTAGACAGTTCACACACTTCACAAAAGATGTGAAGAGCTTCATTTTCACGCACAACAAAAGAACCAGGTAGTCACAAGGTCAGGACTGTTAAGTACTTTGTTTCCCAGGTCCTGTTCTCTTCTCTCCAGAAATCATGATGAATAGAAACACTCATGCTCATAATTTTTTTCCCCGGGTTTCAATCTGGTCCAGAATGAGGCCCTGGAGGTGCTGTGATGTCCTGCTCTGTGGTCAGAGAACTTGGTTTCACCTCCTTCTTGGATTCATCTACAGACTACCTCAGAGAGCCTCCTGGCCTTGAGAGTGTGCTCTATACTCAAAATCATCAAAATGTCAGGATGTAAATCCATCAAACTAGCAAAATCTAATCTAAGGGACGAAAATAACAAAATCTTGGTTCAAACTCTGGTGCTGAGACTTGGCCTTCCTGAGAATCACAGAGAAATGGTCTCAAAATGTAAAGTGCCTATTACAACAGTGTTGATTATGAACAAACATGTTCCCCTTTCTCACTATCAATCAATACGGAACCAGGGGACACGAACTCTTTAAAGTTATATTGCAGCTATGCATGTGTGTACATGTTTTTCTGGGGAGAGGGCTCAGAGCTTTAATCCGATTCTTATAGAAATTCATGACTCAAGGAAGTTTAAGGGCAAATGATTTATTCTCACACCAAATGCATGTTGGCTGAGGGGGAAATAGCCAATGCGGTGCTCAATAAAAAGGTAAGTGTTTCTAGAGCAATTACATATGAGGGACTCTTGGTTGCTTGTTTCTGATTCACCTAAATACCAAGGAGTAAAAAGAGAATTTTTTAATTCTTTGTTTGTGGCCTCATCACTATTTCTACATCCCAAAAGCTTGTTCAGCAGGGCATTTTTTTTTTTTTGAAATATTTAAGGACTAGAGGTTTTGTCCACGTAGTTACTTGACTTCATAGAATGAGAAAATTGGAGTTCACAGCTACTACTAAACAAAAGAACCAGGTTGTATTTTGGGCCAAGAACATTAAGTCATTTTTGTTAAAGATTTTAATCTCTTTTAAATCAGTGATCCAAATAGGAATCCGAAGATTTGAAGGTCAAGATTTCTTTACCCCACTTCAAATCCAGATTCTGATCTAGAAGCACATGCCTATATTCTGGAGTCTGTAATCCTATCTGGTTTAGAATTGCATGTCTATTCATATTGCACTTGCTGTGATCCCTTTGTGCAGGAGAAACTAGACTAAATGAGATGTCTTGAGATTGAGTGCTTCCAGACAAAAAGAGAGGCCGAGGGCAGGTAGCTAGTCATTTTGGCAACTCTAGTTTGGTATGAGGAAAAGTTAAGGTCATAGAGACTTTAAAAATCATAATTTCAACATCTGTCAAAATATAATATAATGAACTCTTTCAATGGATCTCCTTGGATATTAAAAAGTCCTGGTTACACCTTAATGTGATAGAAAAGTCCAAGCCTCTTAAGAAAGTGCTATATGTCTGTTTAGATACTATATATAAACATGTCTCTCTGTGTAAATTCATATATATGTATATAAACAGCATATACTATAGAACTCTTTATATGGTTTATTTGCTCTCTATTTTAGTCTACTGTATCTTTTTTATAGCTCTATATGTAAGAAAAATATTCATAGTATGCCTGCAACTGATGGCTTTGGGTTGATACCAAACTCCCAGTCAATTCTAAGCTTATTTATGGTTTTGAAACTTCCTTAAAAAGTACTTTGGAACATTTCCATAAAAAAGATACCAGCCCTTGAAAAATTCCAATTAAATTGATGCCGAGCTCGGATTAAATGGCAAAACTCTAGGTATGAAAATATCCACATGTAACCAGATATTCATATACAAAATGGTCATGTGATGAGTGGTATGAAAAGTTGGCAGTTACATCTGGGAGATGTTGAGAAGACATGGTGGAGTCATGCAAATGATGAAGGTCACACAGCAGCATACACATGACATGAGTGGTAAAAATATAACTGTATCCCATATAGCAATTTTAGGTAAGTTCTGCCTACTATTATTTTTTTAGTTCACTATTACATATTCAGTGAGTGACTTCGTTGATGACAGGTGAGATACAAAATAAATTAAAAAATATAAAATTATTTAATTACATTCATCCTGAGCTTGCTCGACTATACTTGAATGCCCACTGTATATAACAAACCACCTGACATTTGTTTTTAACATCAATTCTTCTTTCATTTTGATTGCAATACAAGAAGGCATTTCTTTTCCCTTTATTTTCTTCAAAAATGATAAACAGTTGTGGCACCAGAAGTGAATATATAAGAGACAGGTGAACTATGACTGTTACCTTGTTTTTTCTTTATAATGATCAATTACAGAAGTGTTGGCATGAGAAGGATGTGGAACGTTAGGTAGAACCGCTTGCTGCCGGCTTATACTGAATAAAAAGGATGCTCTTCATCAGTCACCAGTGATGGAGCCAATGTGAAAAGAAAACAGAATTGAAGTTTAGAATATCTCATTTGTATGCTGGCTACTTTATTTTATTTTATTTTGCAATTTAGCCCTGCATCCTAAAACTCTTGATAATGGTCAGAAATCGAAAGACGCGTCCTGGCATGGAGAGTGCTTGAAGCCCCTTCATTCCCAGAGCTCATGGCTTTCTGAAGTGACTAGTGATACACATTCATCTCAGCCCTCTTCAGCCTCTCTTTCCCCTCCCTGCCCATCAAGTGTGAACATGACTTACATCGCCCGTGTTTGGCACTGGGCCAGATCAAATGCTTTCTTGATCTGTGGCCCAGAAGTCACTTTTGAGTTAACACCTCCCAAGGCATTGATTATTTTGCTCAGCTAAGAATAAAGCAGGTATGTTTCAAGGAAGGGGAACAGGTGGAGTTCGGGGAGAATTTTAGGGCTGGCTTCTTGAGCCTCCTGCAACGCTTACTACGAAGGTTTAGTTGTGCTTGCTTTCAAAGCTGTGGAAAGCAGACATTCTGGACAGTCTCCTCATGGACAGGCTGTCCCCTCGGCCCTCCGGCTTGGAGGACTTACTCTTCTGGAAGGGATTTCGCAGGCTTGCTGTGTTCCGCTGCCTGTCGAGTTTGTCACTGATGGAGAAGCTCTTCCTGGTGTGTGCATATGGTGCGCTTGGCTCCTCCGCTGAGTAGCTGTTGGCGCGCTCCATCTTGGGAACAGTGATGTTGTTGGACAGGGTTCTGTCTGAGTTATCGCTCTCTTGGGAGGGTATCGCAATGGTAGCTCTCCGGCCTTTGGCCTCATTCTCCTCACTGTCAGAGCTGGGGTGACTCAGTTCTGCTTCTCGCTCAGGATGGCAGCAAGATGAGTCCTCCACTTTGCCTCCAAGACCTCCAGGTAAGGTGGCCCTGTCGGCAATTGCTTGAGGGGCATTGACACACCTTGTGTCAATACAGTCTGTAATACTTGTGTATTCTGCTGTTTTCACAGGCACCCCAAAGTTGGCGTAATAGCTCCTCGAAGGAGAAAACATAAAGCTATGAGATTTCACAATGGGGGCCTCTTCTAGAAGAAAGGGTGTGGTGGCTAGGTAGCGGCTACTTTTGGAACGCTCGATGGTGTGGTACATTGGAGGGTCAGTGTCCCAGGGGTTTTGGCATTCTGGGAGGTGGGTATAGTCTGAAGAAAAAGACCTAGTGTCCATGGAGGTAATGTCCTCAAAATCAATGCTCCGGCTTGGAGGTCTGTCTGTGGGCGCAAGAGTTGCATAGGCACTGCTTGAAGTGGCTGTGGAAGGTACTGGAGCCGAAAAGCTTGGCTCGCCCAGCCCAAGGATGTTCATGGAATTGTCCAGAGGGTCTATATCACAGTGGAGCTCATCCATGGCAGACACGTAGATGTCTATGCATGAAGATGGTCTTCTGGAATCAGGAACAATGGCCAGGGTGTTTGCAGGGGCTGCAGGAGCTTTGCATTCTTTTGCTACAGAGTGGGAACTAGTAGCACGGTGTAGGCTCAGGGACCTTTCTTTCAAAAGACTTTCCAACTTTTCTATACCACCTTTGTCTTTCACATTGACTGAATAGAAAGAATGGCTTCGCATACGGGGCATTAGGGTTGGAGAAGTTGGGGACATGGTCTCCTCACCTGCAGGGTCTATACTCTCTTGGAGCTTGAAGGTGTTGCCCTCCTGGCTGTTGAAGCTGCTCTGGCGGACGATGTAGGCTGCGTCTGTGCAGTCCGAGGAGGTCCGCGAGCGGATTTTGTTGGACTCGGCCCGCTCCAGACCTGCCAGGCGCTCCAGGGCTGTGGCCATGCGCCCGATGAGGTCCTCGAGCTGTGCCAGCCGGATGTCCACGGTCTGGAGCGAAGCCTTCATGCAGTGCTCTCTCTCGTTGACTTCCTCCAGCCGCATGGACATGTTCTCCACCCTGTGCGAGGAAGAGAGAATGAGAGTCACTCAGGGCTGGATCCCTCTGCTGGAGGTTTAAGAGAACGTGGAAGGAGGCAATCAAAGCTGAGCCCAGAACTTGGTGCCATCAATGTCCTACCAGAAGGAAACCGAGGGGTTGCAGGTAGCAAGAGGGAGTGGGAAGGAGAGGATGGCAGTGATGCTGTCACTGAGAATCACAGAATCCAAATCTCTTTGAGCTTGAAGAGGCTTGAGAGATTATCTAATCCAGTGGTTTTTAGCTAAATCTCCTTTTCCCTCAGTGAAATTTAATGCACAATCCCAACACAGTAAATAAATACTTACTGAAGTGGAGTGGGGCCAAAGTCCTACCCTTTTACCACACTCATGGCTTAGCTGTGGCTTGGGGCAGGGTTTAATGACCTAAATAAGTATTAGGGTGTTAGCTGATCAGAGTCACCCACAAAATGAGAATATTGCATTTTGATGACTTTACCCAGAATTTTGCAATAGAATTTTAGAATGTACCTATTCTTATTGCAATGTGTGTATAAAATTTGTATGTTATGGACAGGGATTATTTTTATTTTGTATCTATATAATAATCTTTTTTTGTTGTTGTTCACAATAATCTTTTTAGAATGTAGTGCCTCCAAAGGAATTAATATGGTCCTTTTACTGAGGCACCTGGAAATGATCTAATTTAATCCAATCCTTTTATTAATAAAGGAAAAACAAACACCAAGAGGTGTAACCAAGATTGCATGAAGTAATTTGTGGTAAACTCTGGAGTATCTATCAATCAGTAAATTACCCTGCTCCTCTCTGTCTCTCTGTCTCTCTGGATAGCTGATCACAAGTGCCTTCTATGACAGTTATTTCTAGATGTCTTGACCCTCCCCATTGGAAATTCTTAAGGGCACGATGTGTCTCATATTCCTGCTTCCATTCCCATGTTGCCAGCCCAATATCTGCCAGGTGTCATAAAAGTTCACTGAGGCAATCACTGTTATGAACTTGATTTCAATTGTCTAATCGGCTGCCGGGCCATTTATTTACAAAGATGGAGGCCACATATTTATAATACAATTGTGTCATATTTTTCACTTGCTCAGATTAACTTGGCAAGGACAAACCAAAGCCAAGTTCGGTTTGAGCTCAAACTTTCACTTTAAATGCCCAAAGTCAAATCTTTTGGACAATCCCAATAAGATCCATTCACAACTTTTCTGGAGAGAATAAAGAAACTTTTCCAATATTCCCTATATGCACAATAAATCACTTGACTGCTGACCCTTAAAAAAAATGCCTGCATGTGCAGAGCGTGCTTTACAAAGAACGGTGGGAGTCAGAGCTGGGTTCCCCCAGCTGCTGTGATGGCTGTGGTGGGGATGCTGTGTTAATAGCAATGTCTCCATTAGAGGAGAATGTACGTTCCAGTACCGGAAGGAGGTAGAAGAGGCACACGGTTTCCCTCTTTAAGGGACTTGTAGGCTTTCACAAACAACCTCCTCTTCTGCTGGCCTGAGTCGGGGGTGTGATTCTCTTGCCTTGGGCCACGTTTCTGCCTCTCTCTGTAACAATTCCCCCACTCACTCCACCCACTGGGCTCTTTTATCTTTCAGATTCCCTGCACCCAGCCTAGGGTTCTGGACTGTTCTCAAGAGCCCTGCTTTGGAGACATTTTTTTCTTTTGCTCCCTCCTGCTGTCCTATAACCAACTGAGTGCCTCCCAGGGTCCAGCATGCCCAGGTGTGTTCCCAGAAGACTTATAAATTGAGCAGTTCTGCATCTGACAAACCGCACGTTATCCACCCAGCTAATTCAGCGACTAACACAGCTACTTCAGGAGGAAAATACTTTTCCCTCTTTCATTTTGTTTTGAGGTATAAACATAGCCCAAGAAACAAATTACTTAAAATAGTAAGTTCATGTCTTAGAGACTTACAATTCACTTTTCATCATCTAGCCTAAGGAGTTTGATTTTGCAAGTACTACGATTTCATTTTTTATAATGCAGTAAGCTTTGGGTAAGTGGAGAAAATATTTCATTAAAGTCAGGAGCAGGACAGAGCGTGCACTGCTGTAGAATGAGACTTTTCATTTCAGACTCTCTAGGTACAGGGCCCCCCTAGCTTTTTAGTGTTGGCAGAGTAACAAAAGGCAGGATAGTTTTCTTCCTCCTTCTCCTTTCCTTTCCTGGAGCCCAGTGTATACTAAGTTGGTATGGAAAGAGATAAAGATGCTCTTTTAGCATAATTGCATGTGATCACTGGTCCAAGGACTGTGAAAAATCTCCCTGCACTGTGGGGACCTCCCCCCCTGTGTCCCGCCTCCCTTCCAACAGTGCCCCAGAACCCAACACTGCAGAGAAAACTAGCAGGTGATAGGCAGAACTGAGGCACCAAGACGCAACGGAAGTGTCAAAGCCTGGTGGTGGGCAGTAAACCGAATATAGAAACTAAGAAGCCCAAGGAGAGGGGCCGAAGAGAGGAGGTCTAAATAGAAAGAGACTCCTTCCAGAAAGCAGAAGATGCCCAGTGGGAGCCTCAAAAGTGAAGAAGTGTGGCCCCGGGGTTCCTCGGGGAATGGAACCAGGGTAGGGAGGCCTTCTGGAACAGGGCCAAGGAACTATTCTTAACCAAATCTTAACTCTCCCGTGGGTTCTGCGGTGCCTTAGAATGTAAGACTTGGATTAAAAAACATTGGACTGTTTCATCTATTTTCTTCCAGAATTCTGGATGCATTTAACCATCAAACCATATGATCATTTAGATCAAGGATGTAACTGATAGCGGCTTAATGTAGGAGTTACAAAAGAATAAAAATTCCTCGAGTCAAATTTCTATGTTTGTTCCATAACTAGAGTGTGTCCCTTAATCTTTAAAAAAAATTCTCGGAAAGTTAAGTGTAACTGGGCGTGCATCACAGATATAAATAGTTCTGAGGAACAAATCAGGAGTTTTGGATCGCGACTGTAATTGCTAGGGGCTGGTTGTGGTCAAACCACTCAGGAGACAAAATGGAGATAAGAATGATAAGAATTTATGGATCAATAGGAATCCACGAGGAGATAGATATGGGAAGTGACTGAGTAAGAAAAAAAAGAGGGACTGTGCAAAGGAAGATGTTGTAAGGGAGAAACACTTTATTTTTCTTTCCCTCTTTCTCATCTCCAGACTTGCATGGCTCATTTTAGGATAACTCGGGGGGCAATCACAGTAGAGACACAACAAGGTCCTGGAGAGATGAAATGGCTCCTGCTCCTGGAAGCTCAAGGAATTGACAGCCAGGAGCCCATCAGAGGAGACTCAAAGGATGGTGAAAAAAAGCAAAACAGCTAAGAAGACAACTAGCCTCACCAGAAAATGTAAGTAATCTATAAAAACCAAAGGGAAACAAAGAGAAACGCCAAGAGACCACAGATGGGAGAATGTTTTCCTGATATTCAGCATTCTTGGATTCTGGGAATTTGACATAAATTCTAGGCAGAATTATACAATGGTAGGTAATTAAGCAAGTATCTCAGGTAGGCATCTTTTGAGGACTTTAAAAAGATAGGGTTAGTTAACAGGTGACTACATAGGCTCAATATTAATCTTGTCCTTTTTTTGATAATTTAGACCAGGAGAGTGACAAAGATGCACCATATCTGTGATTAAGTACATTTGATCTAAGCAGGCAGGTTGACACTGGGCTGACTAGGGAAATGTGGAAACTTGGTTGGCTGATTAATCAGATGAGGGATGGTAAAACAGTGGGCTGATGGCGTCAAGAAAGGTCTTTTTTGGAATTGGGCAATGTCTTGGGTCTGTCTCAGTTCACCTGATTGGTGCTGGTGAGAGTTTTGGTGAATTATGTTGAAGGCATAGTAGGTACGCTTATCCAGCAAACAATGACATAAAATGGATAGGATGACAAATTAATACACTGGAGGATAAAAACAGGATCCAAAGAGCCCTTGAAGTGCTGGAATAATGAGCCAAAGGGGAAAAAATAAAGAAAAACTTCACAGCGATGAATGTTAAGTCCTGATTTTAGGTTAAAAACAAACATTTCACAGGAAGAAATTTGAGGATATGTGAATCAGCTCATGTGAAAAAGCCCTGATTTGAATTAATTTTAAGCTCACTCTGAACCAAAGATGCGACTTGACTGCTATGATTGCAATGCAATCTTACAGCAAATAATATATGCAGATGAAATAATAAAAGTAACCACCACTTATTGAAACCATAACATCACATATGTTGTCTCAGTAAGTTTTAATACTCTACAATTAGGTATTAATACTCCATTTTACAGACAGAGACATAGGTTCAGAGGAGTTAAGTAATGTGCTCAAGGTCACACAGCTAGTTACTGCAGAATTAGTATTAAAACCTTTCCATTATACTGTATTCTTTCCCTTATAGCATGAAAAGAACTACTTGTCCTATTATAATCTACGAGTATTAGCTCAGCACATAGTAGGTACTCAAAAATAGAAAATGAATGAATAAAGGAATTAAATCTAGGTTCTAACTACAACACAGAATTAATTTCCATTTAGGTATCACGTTGGAAGGGGATGTTGACAATTTAAAGTGCATATTGAGGAAATGAGCAGCGTAGTGGGAGATTAGCTGCATGCATCATCAGTAGTTAAAGAATCTTGGGATATTTAGTTTGGAAAAGGCAAAGCAAAGTAGGGAGATGATAGTAATCTTCACATATGTAAAATATTTCCTCAGAGAGAAAAGAATTTCATTTTTTTCTATATTCATTCATAAGACTGGTATCTAAGGCACGTTCTCCTCTTCCTGGGAAGTATTCACACAGAGGCTAGGTGTAACGAGACTACACGTTCTTTCAAAGCAGAGTCCTTATACCCCCCCACCACCCCCGACCCAGGCCCTGCTTATGCCAGCTGCTCAGTACATGTTTGTTAAATCACCATTGGTCAGGTGTACAGGAGAAACGACTGCTTTGGGTACGAGTAATCTGTACTCAATGTCATCCAGAAACTTTTTCAAATGTAAGGTGCCAAATTTTATGTGCTCCACAGTGAATAATTCTGCACCATCCTCTGCTATCTCTGGACTTTTAGCCTGTCCATTGGGTTCCATCACCGGTTCTCAAAGTGTGGTCCCTGGACCAGAAGCATCAGCATCAGCTGGAAACTTATTAGCAGTGCAAACTCTCAGGCCCCATCCCAGATGTAGTGAATCAGAAACTGGTATGGGGAGGGATACCCAGCAGCCTGTGTTGTGACAAGCCCTCCAGATGGAGGCCCTCAAAGTTTGAGAACTGCTGGGGTAGATGTTTCTGGCTGTTCCTGCTTTGGGTATGCATTGGAACTCAGTGAGACTGTGTGATTCTTGAGGACAAGGCTCTGCCTTGTGGGTGCTCAAGGCCTGCCACATTGCCTAACACACAGTGAAAGCCCAGTAAGCACGTACTGAAACAGAAGTGAGCTTGTAAAAGGACAATGAGCATGGAATTTGATGGAACAGACTTCTAGGTTTGGTTATCTTCAGCCAGGAGCCCAAAAATCCTCAGAAAAGAAGCCAGTCACCAATACAGCTTAAGAGGTTAAAAATTTGTTTCTTTTAATGTAATTATCATTAGCTAGATATTGACCCAAATAAAGTGGAGGGCATTGGTTGCTCAATTAACTCATTATATTCTGAAATCGTATTGCTTGAGATGCATCAGGGTTATTGCTATATAAAAAATGGGAAAAACAAGGAATTTTCAGAATCAAGTTCCTCGGAGGTGGTAATGATCTCCTGAATATTGTATTGAGCTCTTTACATACCATTTGGGTGTAAAACTAAGATTTAATAATGATGCATTTAAATCAATAATTATGGAAGCATCTTTGTATTTCTAAAAAGACTTATGTAAATATAACTTGTATAAATAAATTGTATTTTAAAGGCGGTGGTGGGGGGTGGGATGGGGAGCATAGGGCTCCCTCTGTGAAGAAACCATTTTTTCTAAGTCTTTTAGTAAAGCAAAGAGCCAGCTCATAATTTTTCTGACTTTCAATCTCTGTATTGGGGCCATCTAACATGAAAAGAGAATTACATAGTATTCTATATCTTATATAGAATGTGCACCGTTAATTTACGTAAATTAAATATATGTACCTATCCAAATGTATGTATATACATTATCTATCTATCTATCTATCTTTCTATCTGCCTGCCTACCTATCACCTATCTGTCCAAGTATCTATGTATCTATCATCTATTTATCTATTATCTATCTATTATCTATCACTTATCTACTATCTCTCTATCAATTGATCTATCGCTCTACCTATCATCTATCTACTTATCAACTGTCTGTCATCTCTCTGTCTCTCTGTGTATCTATCTATTGAATGTAAATAGGACAGGTGATTTCACCTGCGACTCACTCAGAAAGGACGTGTCCTAGAGTGTGTGAGATGGATATCGTGGATTCGCTCTTCCCTTGGTAGATCTCTGTTCCTCATACACCTCATGGTGTTTCTGTTGTGCTGAGTGCAATTCTAGTGTTTAAAGAAGTTATTTTTTGGTACATTTACAAATGTACAAACCAAAACAAACCAAACCACAACCACCACCAACAGAAACAAAATCCCAAACAAATATAGACAGAAGCAACAGAAGTGGAATGAGGCCTGGGCTTGGGTTTGCTTCTCTGGCCCCAGGCTTGGTCGTCAGTTCGTCTTTATCCTCCAGGCCCCCATTACTCCAGAAGGCCAGCTAATGCCTAGGACGCAGGGAGGGTGGGCCTACACTCTGTCCTGGATTTCTGGGAATTGCTCATCTTGGTCACCCTCCTGAAGGGTAGGTCTCTGTGTCCACCCAGAGAGGAACGGAGCCTTGGGGAAGAGTCTCCTGGAAGCGTTTGCAGGTGTGGGGTGAGAGGCTCAGGTGAAGGTGCTATAGTTCCTCTCTGTTTCCAGCCAAAAGGAATTGATGACACGATCACAATATGTTCACATGCGCTGGTGTCTGCATCTCTCATTCTACTTCCCTAGAGAGGCAAAGCCTTCTTTGCATCTGAACACTCCCTCCTGACCTTTCTTTCCTCCCAGGTCTGTGGCTTTCTGAATTCAAAAAGTATTCCTAAGTCTCCTGGACAGATGCTTTGGAAATACGTTTGCGCAATGGCAATGTGTCCATGTGGCACAATTTTCTGGGAACCACATGGTTCTGTGTCCATTAATAAATAGCTTTTTCGAGACCTCAGAATGAGAAAGATCTTCATATTTTCAGCTCTTTCCTCCGTTTGCCAGAAAATTGCTTCACACCACATCATCATTAAATGCTCTATTTTGCAATGACAGATGCATATAAAATCTGTGCATGGCTTTAAACTTTATTAATATTGGCTGAGCACCTATGGATGCAATCACTCAATGGAGTATCTTGTTATTTTGCTTTTCTGATAAACTATAGAGATGTGGCTGCTGCCTTCTATATTTTTTCACTTCCCCTCTTTTTGCCTTGAACATGAACGTGATTCCTCGAGTATGTGTACATACCTACTTATCTAGGCTGAATTCTTTAAAGAAATAAAGGGCTAGGGACAGAAAAATGCCATTGTGTAATTTCTGCAGAGCCACTAAGAATGCATGAAGTGGGGAAGCAGACAAAATGTCATTTCATAAAAACTAGAGGTGACTGACTCAAATCTTAGAAGTCTGAGTCATATTGACTAAAGTCATCAATATATTATACCTTTTCCCACTATTCCCACTATTTATAATTTTTTCTGCCATCTTTATATAGCAAATGCTTAAAATTTTAAAGTTACACCAACACTGTCTAACACTCTGGGTGTCCTTGAGAACAGTGGTTCCCAAATGCTGGGTTTTGAATGTGCCAGCCTGGAATGAAATTTTTATTAGTCTACAGCAAAATGAGGAAATAAGAAAATGTAAGTTCATTTGCATAAAGCTAGATTTATTAAATTTAAAGAATTCTCTTCTTTTTATTTTGAGATTTTTCTTGCAGCCCTCCTGATCCACAAAACTATTTGGTCAATGAGATCTAAAGGTATATAACCACTGGGTAGAAAAATCTGCTTTTATTTCTTTGCTTTTATCTTGTTCTATAAGAAGAAAAAACGAATTAAAAAAAAAAACCCAAACAAACAACCATCAACCATTATTCTAACTAATTCACAAGCCTCTTGCTATTGTTTATTCAGAAGGTATTGAGCACCGTATAAGCCAAGCACTGGGACCATCTATGCTTTGGGAGAAGATGCTCAGGGATCCACATGAAACAAAAACCTGCTGGAGAGCCCTGAGTTGGGTGGGTCTCTCTTGGTTTGTGTCTGGGTTAGAAGTTTCCAGTTTCTGGTCTGAGCCAGCACCTCCTGCCCTGTTCTGGACTCAATAATCTCCAGCATCTAGGAGGGTGGCTCCTATTGCCTGCTGAGAAGTCTAGGATCTGTCAGTCTGGGATTTTCACCTGTAGACACTTCAGACAATGTTCGCTTCTCTCATAAGCTCGATGATTTCTTGGACAATAAAAATAAACAGAAGGGGTTTCTGTTTTTTGTGGCATGTAAACAAAATCAACTGATAAAGCGCACCATGGCATAAAATATTCCGAGAGGTGTATGCCCAGGGAACGCACCTTTCTGAAGTCACCCGTATCCTCTCATCATTGGATGAATTGAACCGATCATCCTTTTCTCTGAAATATTCCTCGATGCACTGCTCTTCGAAATCATGTACTTTCTTGAGCTCGTCATCAGTTATGAAGAGTTCTGTGGAAAGGAAATGAGATATGAGGCAGAGAAGTAAAAGCGATGGCATCTGATCTGTGGGCCTAATGACATCCCTAATTTCAATCAAGGCTAGCAAAAGGGCCCTAGATTCTTTACTTAGTCTGAAACTAAATCCAGATCTAGTCAGGCAACTTGCGTCACTGTCCTCTCTCTGGGCATTAGACTCACGATGGGTCTCTGAAGTTCACCTGAACATACCTGGTTTACTGCCAGGGCCGATTAGAATTATTCAAGTTGTAAGGCCAAAAACATAGCAAAGCCAAGGAAAGAGAGGCTACGCCAAGAATGGAGGTGTCTTAAAAGCTCAATGTCCAGGCCAAGGAGTGTGGCAGACATTGTTCCCTGGCCTTACTAAAAGCCCTTTTGCAGTCACATCCCCCCATCCCTGTTCCCACTACTGACGCTGCAAAGCCCAGTACACACATTTCCAGCCTCCCTTGAAGCTGGCAACAATCATGAGACCCAGTTTGGCTCAAGAAACAAAAGAAGTCTGCTGCAGGGAGTGGTGGTGTATTGGGAAGAGATTTTGCTTTTCTGATAAACTATAGAGATGTGGCTGCTGCCTTCTACATTTTTTCACTTCCCCTCTTTTTGCCTTGAACATGAACGTGATGACTGGAAGTGCAGCAGCTGTTTTGCTACCATGAGACAAGACAGTGTGATAAGGAAGAGCTGAGCCTAAAAATAGAAGGACTCTGGGTCTTTGACTTCAGTGAGACACCATTGAGCTCTGGGCTGTCTACTTCTTCACTTTTTGTTATACGAGAAAAATAAAATTTTATTTATTTGTGTTATTATTAGTCTGGTTTTCTGTTAATAGCAGGTAACCTAATTCATAATTGATATAGCTGTAGAAAAAACTCAATGGAAATTTGAGTCTTTTCTCCCCCTAAGCTTTCTATTTGTCTAAATTTGTGTTTCAGATGGAAATAGAGAATTTTGGAATTCCCGGTCCCTTCCAATGCTCGAATTTTAATGTCTAGAAAGAAGCTGGGCATTGCTATGTCAGGGAAGTTGTTAAAACTTTACACTTAGAGAAGCAGTTGATAAAGTGGCTTCGGTTTCAAACTTTGGACGCACTAGTGATCACCTGGAGATAATTCCTGGGCTGCAATCCAGAGGCTCCTGTTGAGTAGATTTAGTGTAGGTGGTCTGCTTGACACACCTTGAGAAACCGTAGTAGCTGGCTGGTATGGGGCTGGATGCCCAAGGGTTCTTAACTGTGGGTGGTACTCAAAGGACATTTAAGAAGGTGCAGGAGCTATTGCTATTTAATGTGTGGAGGCCAGATGTACCAAATCTCCTGCCATGTGTGGGACAATCCTACACAATGGAGAATTGTTCTGCCCCAATGCCAAGGGAACCTCCTTTTCGAGACCCTGAACTGGAAGGTGGATGGTGGACGGTCTTCTGTTTCGTCCTTCGAATAACGGAAGGCAGGGCTGGTCTCCTCAAGAAGTCATATAGGCACAACCCCTGAGACTTGGGAAAATGTTTAAGACCTAAAAAAATCATAGATCCAGAAATGATCATGGACAAGCAGACCTAGTCACTTGCAACTCCACTCCACTCCTGTAACAATGCTTAAATTAGATACAATGCAACATTGGCAGCACATGGATATGTGGTTGATATATTTTGTGGTAGGACCTCTGGAAAGCAAGACACTTAGAACCTATAAAGTTGCTAAAATAGCCCTGCTGGAGACTAGTTTTATCTCACTGAGAAAGATGTGAGGCTAAGAATGCTCGACTTCCGCCTCTACAGTCTCCTTTCCAGCACTGTTTCTCCGGCGAGCGTACCCTCCCGTTCTCTCCCTAGTCTTCAGAGCTGTCGGCAGTCTGCAGGAGGCAGGAGGAACCAGGTGGCCGCGTGGCCCTGCACGACTGCCCACAGGAAGCGGTAGGGATTTCTGATATGTGGCTGCAGGGGGCTGTCACTCGAAGCTTACTCAGGCCATAGTCCCTTTCGTCTGGGTCGCTCTCGTGTTTCCTCCATCGGCAACACAGGTGCTGGAATATCATGGTCATGTGGCTGAAGATGATCAGAGGTGGGGGCAGAACTGGCCTTTCATGGAAAGTCATGATGAGCTGATACCTCTGAAACTTCCACACTTGGTTGGATATTGATTTTACCTCAAAAAAGGTATTGCTGAAACAGGGACCAGAGAGAACCAAGTGAGCAACTCCACCGCTTTCTGGAGCCCCATGCCCTCCAGTGCCCCCACTCCATCCCCAGTGCTCTGAAGGAGGCACTCACTTAAAGACAGCGATGAGGAGGTTGACCAGCAGGATGTTTGCCACTAAAAGGTAGCAGGCCATGATGGCTGGCACGATCCAGGCTCCTGTCTTGCAGGGAGGCAACTGGATTATTTTGCCATCCTCTCGGGTCTCATTCTGTCCACAGGGAGCTGGAGGAAGCAACATGGGCAAGAAATGAGAAACCATGGCTATCGATTAAAAAAAAAGGACTGATTTGAATGAGGGGTCTTTTTTTAGATGAAGGAAAAATACAGCCATCTCAAAACAAATAGGGAAAAAAACTTGCAAAAAAGCCTAAATAGAAAAATTAAAGCTTCGTGACTAACCCAAGGGGCTGCTGGTTCCTCCTGTCTCCCAAGTCATCAGCTGACTTGGAAGAGGTGGGTGGAGCCCCCTGCTTGCTCACCCCGTCCTTTGGCCCATGACACTCGCTAAGGGGCACTTGATGTTCTCAGGAAGCCTGGGGAGGCCTTTCCTGGGGTGCGGCAGCCTCAACGCCCCAATCAAGTTACTTTCAAAATGTGCTGTGGAGGCCAGAAGCCGCCAGCTGTAAGAGCAGCAGCGTGAGGGGCTATTGATCAGGAATTAACACCAGGGCAGCTGTTAATTGCTGCAAGAAACAACCCGGGGGCTCTGAGTTAACGATTTGCTGTCTCAGTGTGGAAGGAACAAAACTGGGCAGCGTCTTGAGAAGTATCTAGAGGGCTTGTCGCTCGGTGCTCCTGACGGATGGCATTTCAGGGGAGGGCAATGAGGGGTGATGGGCAGAAGCCTGTAGCTACCTACTTTCTTCCAGCAGCATTTCCATTCCAAAAATGTGCTTTTCAGGGCACAGGGAATAAAACCCAGCTGCACTGAAGATACGGACAAATGGGAAAAAAGATCTGGAGGTGGGGGTAGGGAGGAAGGTGATGTGTGGGACTGGGTGAGCGTGAGTAATGTGCTAATGAGGCGGGCTTGGAGTTTCCGGGTAAATTCAGGTGAAAACAAATCCTTGACAAAGCTCCTTAGTGCTGCAAAGACAACATGGCCGGGGGTGATGTGGTGCCCAGGGATTGGTGACGTGCTCCTCCCTCTCCAGCTGCCTTATGTTGGCTTTGGAACAGGGTCCTTTTTTGTCTGTCTCTAAATAGGAGGAGCCACGAAGAAGTCTCAGCAGTTGCCACAGCCAGCTTTTGAAGATCTGCAGGGAACGTTTGCAATGTTGACCTAGAATCTCGGCTGGAGTACCTGGCGAGGGGTCTATTCCCTTCTCAACAGTTAGCATTGCTAGGCTGTGTGTTCCATAGTGGTTCTCAACCCTGGCTGGATACCCTGGGGAGCTTTAAAAAGCGCCACCCCAGACGATTGAATCAGAGTCTCGGAGGGTGGCTCAGGCACCAATATAATATTTCTTTTAAAACTTCCCAGGTAATTCTCAGGTGCCATTAAGGTGAGTCCACTGAGCTAGAATTAGACCTGAAAAATTCTGTGATTTTTGACATGCTTTCAAGTCCAAAATGCATCTTCTCAGCCTATGAAGGTTTTAATAATATTGGGACACCAAGACTCTGTTTTTATGGCCATCTCAAGGAGCTGGCATCTTTTTTATTATTGGCCGTTGTGGCACTAACTGCCAGACAGCCCTGGAAGAGGTCCTGATCATTTACTCCCTTGGAAGGAAAACCCAGTGATGGAGGCCCCCACTGGCTCCAGGAGGAAGTCCAAACTCTCAGGGTGGCTGGCTCAGGGCCATCTTTTGCCACTTCTCACCTCTCCCTCTGAACACAAACTGGACCAAGTTTCTTGCAGTTCCTAGAAATGTCATGCTCTCTTTTACTCCCTGATTTTGAGCCATGCTTTTAGTGCTTCCCAAGGTCCCCTCTGACACCTTGCTCCCACTGCCATACCTCCCCTGGGTAAATTCTATTTATTTTTCGGTGCTTACTCAACTTTCTGAAGTTCAACCCAGCCAGGTTTTTCAAAGGCCTTTCAGCCCTTTCCAGCCAGGACCGGGGTAGGTATTGACAAAGGTTCTCTGCTTGACCAAACTCTACTCAGGTTCTTCCGAGCTTTTTTTCAATTAGACCTTGACTTTTGGACTTCCGTGTCTGTCTCTGCATTGTTCAATTTTAGCAAGAATCCTGTTAAGTCAGGTTAGCTAGAATCCCCACCCTCAATATCTGATCAGGTCCCCCATCCACCATCTCCCAGGTGGAGTCTGATCACCCTCTCCTGTCTTCCCCAAGAATCCTGTTAGGTCAGTTTAGCCAAGATCCCACCTTACCCCTGACATTTCCTTTTAGTGATTTTTCCAGCCACCAGCCCCTACCCTGCTCCTGGTATAAATTCCCGCTTCTCCTTGTTGCATTCAGAGTTGAGCCCATCTCTCTCCCCTACTGCAAAACCTCATTGCAGTACCCTCCCTGAATCAAGTCTTCCTTACCATCTCTAACACACGTCATACATGCTTTTTGCTTTAACAAATAATTTTTTCTTTAGTAATTTTATCTTCCTTATGATCCTAGAGCCCCCTCTGCTTGCCCCTCTGGGGGTCTTCTCACATGGTATCACCCTTGCCAATTTACTCATCTATGCCCCACACAAGATTCCCAGTGAGAAAATTGCTCTTCCAGGTTTCCCATGACCTGCATACACGTAGCACCTCCATGCACATCCACACACGACCACTGTCTGTTGAACGAAGAAAGAAGATCATGTGGCCACAGTTTGGTTGTTGAGCACTAACAGACATTTCCCACAGTTCTGCAGGCCTACTCATGATGGACAGTCCTAACTCTGAGCCATTGTTGGTTCCTTCCTTAGGTCCTTTCCAGAAATCCCACTCTTGGCTTGGCAAGAAGGCTTCTTATATTCAGCAGAGACTTCACTTGGCCACAGCCCTCAAGGAATCCCTCACTTTGCTTTTCTCTCCTCCTGGAAGGCTGCCCCACCCACTCTACTTGCCTCCTCCCAGCCTGACCTCCTGAAGGGCTGTCACTCCTATTCTGTCCTTTCCTCTGGCTCCTGCCCAGATCTCTATGGGGATGCTGACAAAGAGCAGCAGAAAGAACTGCTTAGGGTAAGTTACAAATGCACAGTTTTAACAGATGTGGTCCCTGGTCTCCATTTCTCGAGGACATTGTGATATTTCTCTTCGCATTCTGGGAGAATGTAAAATAAACTTTGGAGGAGCAGTCCTTATCTATCTTGCTCTTTCCCCCCATATTTAGTGAGGCATGCAGACACTTCCTCCATTTGGGCCTTTCTTCCAGTCTAGAGAAAAACCAGGGAGAAGAGCAGGTGCTCACTGGTTTTATGCCCAGGCACGTTGCCATGGGTCTTCACACAGTGTCCTTGAGACATCTCTAGATCTTCTGTTCCTGCCTCAAAGGCCCCTACTAGTTAAAAAATTGGACCAGCTTAATATCTTTACACATGATTTGATTTGCTGTCAATGTGACTGGCTTTAGGGACTCTCTGCTGATCCCTTGCATGTTAATTGATTCCAGCTTCCCCCGCCTTTTACTGATCCTGCCTTTATAGAGGTAGCATTATTTTAGTGTTAGGAACACGCACTATAATTAGGCAGACCTGGCTTCAAACCCTGATTCCACCAATATCAAATGACGTGACTTTAGCTTAGTCCAGAAACTTCAGCTTCCTCATCTGTAAAATGGGGGTAGTAATAGCATACAACATGGGGGAGGTTGTCAAGATCATTAACTGAGATAATGCATACAGAGCCCTTAGCTCAGTATCTAGCATATCGCACTTGGTTAACATTAGCTGGTGCCATAATTAGTATTGTTATTTTTGTAATTAATAGGCTTTAAGCTTCTCGAGCTTAGGGACCACATCTTATTCCTCTTTGTTTTGCAATCACTAAGCACAACACTTATTCTACAAACATTTATTGAGTGTTATAATATGCTGGGTACAGGGGAGATTGGGGATCAAAGAGACAGCGCCTGTTGTCAAGGAGCTCACAGTTTAGTAGGGAACGTTACAATATTGTGTGATGTGAGCTCTGATAGGGGCTCTGAAGAAGCTCTGCAGAACGGCTGCAGCCCCTCTAACCTGGGTCACCCCAAGCAATGTGGTAGTCAGGCCCAGCCTTGAGGACCGTCATCTAGATTCTATGGCAACAAGTACGGTATAAATGAATTAGATGATCCTTGAGACAGTGATAACGATAATAAAAATGAATCATTAAGTAACAGCCTTCACTGGGTAATATCAGCACAGAGGCAGTGAACATTATATGCAGAAGTTAGTGCAAAACATTGCTTTATAATAGCTCCTAATGATGTCCTTGTTCTGGGTATTTATCTGCACTAGAAAGTGCTATGACTCAAACTCACAGATGTCTACCACTGATGACGATGAGCTGGGTGCCTTAAAGGCCTCATAAGCAGCAGATTCCAGAATGGGATATAAATTATTTGGATTGTCATGTGGCACCAACCAGTATCTGAGGGTTCATGTTCTCAGGAAAATGCTTCAGGGCACAGGCACTCAAGATGGTACACGGATGGATGTTTAGGGGCATGGGCGCTGGTGGTTCCCACTGTACCTCCTCCTTCCCTGCTTTGGAACCTGACACTTGAGTGGTTATTCTCCCAATCCTCTTGCAGGAAGTGAATGCACAGTCACCACCATTTTCATGTCAAGTGACATGTTGTCACCTCTCTCTTCGTTGGTGACGGTCAATGCAGAGTGCCTCTAGTGGATGTGTGCTGGTTCCACCTACCCAGTGTACATTTCCCCTTCCTCTCGTAAGAGCATTCTGGTTTCCCTTTGTGGAACTGCCCTCTCCCACTCTCAGTCCCTGAAGTTTGGGTGAAATGGACTCAAATTCCATATCTAGGAAATTAATGTGTGCACTATCCCCTGATTGCAGTGATTGGTTCAGAGATGGACATGTGACCCTAGCCTGACCAATCAAGGCCCATGAGCATCAGCCTTGGGACTTTTACAGAAGCTTGTATAAAAGAGAAGCTTTCTTTTTACAGTGCAATGTAAGGCTACCAAGTGGAGAGGGCTTGCCTGGGAGTGACTCCATCACAGAGAAGAAACACAGATTTATGACCCAGCCATGCCTAAAACCCACCCTCTTCAGTTACACGGACTATAAAAGTCCCTTTTTCCTTAAGTCAGTTTGAATTGC